TTTTTTTTGATCATTAAAAAAAGAGACATGTTGCGATTTCTACTACCGAATCAGAAGATGTAGATGATACAATAGTTTATATAGAAGATTTAGAAAAAAGAAAACGAGTATATGGAATATGTGGAGAATGTAAAGAACCTGGTACAGGAGAAAGATGGTGTCAACATTGTAATGCTAAAAGATTTAAGGATAACTTTAAAAATTGGACTAGCGGAAATGAAAATATCGATGAATTTATACAACAATCACAACTCGATGCTTTACATTGTAAACAATTTCTTGAATGGATACCTTTTGAAAAATTTCAGAATATTACTTATATTGCAGAAGGTGGATTTGGTAAAATTCATTCTGCTAAATGGTCTGAAGGACATATTGAATATTGGGATATTAAAAAGAAAAAATGGCATAGACATAGTTGGGGTGAATATGTATTGAAAAGTTTAAATAATTCTACTGATATATGTTCAGATTTTTTAAATGAGGTAATATGAATTTACTTTAACATTGAAATTATATTTAATAATTGTGTACTTGCATTTATTTATTAGTAAAATTTCTTCTTATCAATTAGATTAAACCTCATCTTCAGATTCATCTTCATTTCGTTGTTACATGTTATGGAATAACTCGAGATCCAAATACTAAAGAGTATATGATGGTTTTAGAATATTGTAATGATGGAAATTTGAGAAATTATTTAAATAAATCCAAAGAATATATGGGATTTGGATCGAAAATTGATAAATTACAAAAAATTGCAAGAGGACTTTTAGATATTCATGCAGCTGGGAATGTTCATAAAGATTTTCATTCGGGTAATATATTATATTATTATTCTATTCCATATATAAGTGATTTAGGAATGTGTCAACCAGCAAAAAGGCAAGGTAAAGAAGGAATTTATGGAGTATTACCATATATGGCACCAGAAGTTTTACGTGGACAACAATATACAAAAGCAGCAGATATTTATTCATTTGGAATAATAATGAATGAGTTTCTTTCTGAAGAAATTCCTTATTATGATATTCCTCATGATGAATTTTTAGCTATTAAAATATGTGAAGGACTTAGACCAAAAATTCCTAAACATATACCAAAATTCATTTCAGATTTAATAATAAGATGTTGGGATGCTGAAGTAGAAAATAGACTAGCCACTAAAGAATTGTATCAGATATTAAGTAAATTGGGTAAGGAAATATATGATAAAAATAGTGAATTGTATTATCAAATAAAAGAAGGTGATGAAATTGGAAGTAAAAAATTTAAAAACGGCAAGTCAAATGACGATAAATCCAAAAATATTCAAACACATCCACAGGCTGTTTATACTAGTAGACTTATAAATTTTAAAAGTCTTCCAAAACCAGTAAATTCTTCAGATTTATCATCTTTTCAATTTAATTCAGGTAATTTTAACTTACTTTTTATTATGAAAAACCAATTTACATTATTAATTTTATTATGTTTTTCCCAATAGATACTAATTATACTATTCAATCAGCATTAACAAATCCAAGCAAGTATTTCTTTTAATTATCGTTACTATAATATTGCATATAAATTTATTAACGGACAAATGTTATTTTATTAAATTTACAGTTTCAGAATGCTTGGATGTTCAATTAAGCGAATTAGGTAAGCTAATATTTAATATTTATTATTTATTTATAACTTTATTAATATTTATTATCTAATTTATTTATTTACTTATTTTTATAGAACTAAATGAAATTTGTCAAGATTGCGAAAATAATATTGAATGAAACTTCTTTTCACACAAGTCAATGATTAAAATACAAAAGTGTATGTATGTTGAAGTTAGCCTTATTTTTATTAAATTTAAATTTTATACTTTAGTTTTCTTTTGTATTGTATCAGTTTATTAGGATTTTTATTTTTAAAATTATTTTTATATAAATAAAGATTATAGGTTTTTATACTAATTAACTAATTGTTTGTGCATATTAATCTCGACACTTATCATTGCTAGACGCATTTAAAATTTACGTGTATTTTTGGGGTTAGTATTATGCAATGCTGAATGGAAGAGAAAATATCTACACGACTATCTCCAATGAGTAGTTTTGAATTATCGATCTATAGCCATTACATTATCGTAGAGGAGACAAGAAAAGGACTTATCCTATTTTTAATTTTCTTTATTAACAATTTTTATTATTAGTAATAGGTTCGAAAATGAATAAGCGAATTTATGTTTAAACGACATATTCGTTAATACGCTTAACATTTTAAATCAAAATATTGTCAATTTTTTCTTTTAGAATTAAACAAAGAATTATGACATTCAGTTACTGGAGTTTAAAGCCAAGGCATAATAATTGAACAAAAGGTAAGCATAAAATGTTGCAAATAGTTATATTATAACGTGTATCCATTAGTCCGATTTTCATTTCTTAAATACTTTTGCTCCTATGTGAACCAATTCAACACTAAACATATTTTAATACATAATATTTATCCTAAAATGTCAAATAGATTATTTTTTTGAAAAGAATTTTTTTACATAATTTTTTATTTGTTTGACGCCACGCCAATTCCCATTTTCTGTAGATCCTTTGCAGTTTATTCATGAACGACATAAATTTGCATCGAAATCATATATGAATTTTTTGCACTGACTCACGGATCACAAATTAATAAAACAATTTAGAGTTGTGAGTTATTATAAATCATATTAAGATAATAACTGAAATTTTCATATTATTAATTTATTAACAGTACAGTTTATCCTAAAGAATTATTAAACACAAAAACTCTGGGTACGTTTTGATTTTAAATATTCATAATTATATAAAATTTTTATATAATTTATGGTGATGACTTTCTTAAATATGAACTTTGAAATGTGTAAACAATTTGAGAAGGGAAATGTTAGAGTGACCGAAGTGAACTTTACGGCTTTAATTTTCACGTGGTATTTAATCGAATATTAAATTATTTTTTATTCATAATTTTTCGCAAATTTTACGATGAACTCGATAGATGTATACAGTATTGATGCGGTTTAATTTATTAATAATTATATTTGATTGAATCAATATTTATAGTCTCTTTTTTTTCAACGTATATTTATCTCTCTCCTTTGTAAATGGAAAATGGAAAACAATTCATTTTCATCATATTACAAACTATTGATTTTTTGTCATAGAATCTCTTTTATTTTACAAAATTTTTATTAATTCCCATATACACATGCCGATCAAAATTATCCGGCCACTTTTTTAAAGTGATAAACTTACATATGCATAATATTGTGAAATTTAAAATTTAAAGTTATATATATTCATTGTGCCATTGTTTGTTAATTTAAATAAAAATTTAATAATGAATTCTATTTTCATTGGTGGCAATAGCTTCTTCAATTCTATAAAGTATGCTATCAATAATATTCTGGAGATATATCTATCCATGCGTCCTTAACATGCTTTTCAAGTATTTTTATCAGAAAATTTAATAAGGTTAAGTATTATCCATTATGAAATAATATTATATAAGATTATGGCTTGACCTATGACTACTTACATAAACATATTATTATGTAAGTTTATGAAAATTTGCGTAAGATTATAGATTAAAATTTAAAAATCGGATATCAAGAATATTTCGTTACTCAGTGATTGGATCTTCATGAATTAAGATTTGTTAGATTCGTCTCATTAAGTGGATTCGAATGGTAATAATTACATTCTTGTAGGATCGATATTCGATATGTAATTGCACTTTAAAGATTTAAATAAATTTTATAATAAGTTTTGATCCAGTGATCGTATAGCCATGATTTTTAGCTTATTGGATTCGTCTCATCGAGGCGATTCGAATGGTGATAAATATGTGTTTATTAGATTAATATTGACAAAGTTACGGGATTTTTTAAATCTTTTAATTTATCATCACGTAAATCATAAATTTACTCAGTAAATGATTTATATTTCTGAAAAATTTTGAAGAATATGAAAAATGTGAAGCATGGAAATTTGTTTATTGTAATTATAAATATAAAATCGTATAATATTTTTGTCACCTTAGCACGTGATGATCTGCATAATTTTGGTAAAACAAAGTGGCCGGATAATTTTGATCGGCATGTGTACGTAGCAAATATTTTTTTTTTTTCGACTATTCCAAATGTTTCTTGTTGGTTAAAGGGAATTGAAAAAAAAAAAAACATTCTGGTGAGATTAACGTGACTCATAATTCTTTTCTTACGAATTCATGCAAGAATTAAAAAAATTTCAACTTAATTTTAGATAAGGATTAAGGAATTTTTTTCGATAATATTGAAAATATTTTTGCTCCATATCTTATAAATTAAGTTGACCTGAAAAAATTGAACGTGTAAAAGTGTAAAATTATAAAATGTATTAAGCATACATTACAATACATTTCAACTTTGTAAAAATAATTATTCAAAACAATAACTTTATGTATGTAAAATATACTGTACGTATATATATCATATAGTACATATATATTTATTTATTATATGGACACACTAGACTGTCATACTAATTTATTATGAAAATGACAATGATAATTACACGTACATTTCTTAGTCGAGAACTAATTTAAACTAATGGAATTAATTGCATTATTGAAATTTTTTATTTATTCTAGATTTATTAATTTCAGCTGACGCTATTAGCAATTTTTTTCTCCTCGAATTAAATGAATGAAACATTTATACGGAGCTCAGAATTAAAAAGGAAAATAATCTTATAATGATAACACCAAAAATTAATCGAAATAAGCTTAATTGTTTTTCTTAATGAAATTTGAAAAGTGACATCACCGATGAGCGAAATTCTGTGTATTGCTGCTGTATTGTTGTCTTCAAAAAATTTGTATGTTTAATAAAATGATATTTGACTTTAATATTGTTAATACCACGTACGGTTAAACACAATCGGGGATTTTGACAAAAATATTTGTTTCCAAAAAAAAAAATTTATCGGATTTCTTCCTTATAAAGTTTATTCGCACCTTTCCTAAAAAAGAAAGTTAGTTTTGCAATGAATCACATGATAATTTATCAGTTTAAATAATCGAAATGTTCAGTGATCATCATGTTTCTCTCATGATTTGATTTCTTTGTAAATATAACGATAAACCTAATTGATGTAATAATGTTTACAATAATTTCATTTCGTAATATTAAATTTTAATGTTCGCGATAATTTGAAGAATATACTTTATGTTACATCCCTTTTGTATCGTCGTTTACAAATACTGTTCACCGTTCATTCAAATAATTCTACTACATTGGAGCGTAATTAAGGTACATATCTTATTTTTATTTTTTTCTTATATCTGAATTTTCTTTTTTTCTTTTTTTTCTCTTTGAATTTGAATTAATTCATTATTTAATTTGTTTATATAAATTATTCTCCTATAGAAATTTTTTAATTAGCGATAGTCTTTTTATAAAAAGATATCCGAAGAAACGAAAAATTTAACGAATAATATCATATCAATATCATCATCATCATCAGTAAATAATCATTTATCGAATTTGGAATAAATTTTAGTAGATGTGAAGAGGAAAATTAAAAGAATTACATTGAATATTAGTACTATAGCGATAGGATTTTTATATTATAAAAATTGTATCATATTAAAACAATCCTTTTGATTATCTTCAACAACAAGAGGAAGAGGTTATTTAAGATCTAAATCTCATGAAGTTATTAATACTACTACAATCATATTTGATTTATGTAAGTAAATTGGAAAGAGTGGAAGTGTGGCAAGTGTCGTTTCGTAAAGCGCAGTAACTAATCATCATTTTTCTTGATTTTTGTAGTTCGATATTAATGGTATTATTTGACGCGTATCCAAATTATATACTACGGCGGAATGTAAGTGAAATCAATTCAATATTTTAAACAAACAAAAAAAACCAAAAAAAAAAAAAAATATTAACTAATTTTTTTGATTGATCAAGTTGATCAAAATTTAAGTAGAGAACTAGCCATTGGATTAGCGTTAATATATCCTATAAGCATAAGTAAGTCATATATTAAAAAACGAGAAAATTTTTTTTTTCTGTTTTTAATCTCTCTCTTTTCTTATTAGCTTATACAGCCCTAACAAAAGAATCAAAGAGTGAACTTACAAATAGTAGTAATAATAAAAGTCTACCAAATAGATATATAGCAGATGTAATAGATTTTTTATTATTAATATCACCAATATCAACATTATTTCCATTCGCATGGATAACAGGACATTATGTATATATTAATGATTTAGACTCAATTCGTAAAATACATAATTTAAGTTGGGTGATGATCTAATAAGTTTGAATTATAATCGATATAAATTATATGGGATCATATTAAGGCATTAAAAACGTAAAGAAATTGTTTAGTGGTACTCCGGACTGTTTCCACTTTAGGACGTGCCGAAATTTAAGTAAGTGAATACGCGTTGATTTTAATTATTTTAATTACTAAAAAAAAAATTTTTCCTTTGAATTTTTTTATTAACGAAAATTTCGAAATTTCATTATTCCTTTCTTTCTAGTTGTCTTCATTAGTAATTATTATGGCGGTGTTTTTAATAATGTCATTCACTTATGGATATTTTAGATATTTCACTTATCTCGCTTACAATATAAATATTACATATGTAATCGTATGGAATTTTACAATACCAATAATATAAATTTTAGTTCAATTTTTTTTTCGTATACAAGTAAGTTATTTATCACGCTGTTATATTAAACTCATGTCAACAATAATAATGAACAATTATTTTTTAGAGCAATAAACCAAAAACAAAACACTCGAACATATCAATGACGAGTAAATTTACACTAGCGAATGCAGGATGGAAAATCTTTACGTGACGAACTGATGATGAATCTTTGATAGGAGGTGGTGATGGCACGTTAATAACTAGTACTACCTCATTAACTTCACCATTTGTTTCTTCAACTTCACCAGTAACAAACACTACCACGATATCAACAAATACAAATAATATTGATTATTTTAATCATTTTAATTCAAGTGGATTTAATATAACTGAAATGAATTCAATGTCAAACAAAATAAGTCTAGTATTGAAAATTGTAATGAAACGTATAAAAGGTTAACTTAAGTTTTTAGTAGAGTTAGTAATGATGAACGGATTAGTTGAGAAAATACGGAAAATACGGGAATAAAAAGAATAAGTAAAAGTAGTAGTAGTATAAGAATAAGTGTAAGAACGAATAGTAGTATTAATTTAGGTGATGATTCTTCAAGTAATTTAGGTATAAGAAGAATTTCAAGACATTAAACACCAAAAATCATTTGAAAGCTCAATGGGATTAATTGCCGAAGCAAATTCTGATGGATCGAGCAATCATATTTGTGTGAGTGTAAGTAGAAGCAACTGATGCAACTTTTACTATTATAGTGACTACTTCGACCATGTATACTGTCAGTACTACTGTATCAATTAATACTACTGTAATAAGTATTGTAGCAACAGCAGCCGCTAAAGCTTCTTGAAATATACCTGATAATAACGATCATTTGGGCGCTGATGAAAGCAAAAGATTATCAGATTCAATGGAAAAACGTGAACGGTTAACTAAACGTCCTGTATTATATATTTCTAGATAAAAATCAGTTATTATTTTAATTTGTAATAATGTACTTATATATAAATATGTATTATATTATTGTTTTTTTATTATCATTTTTCTTTATTTTTATGGGTGGGAGTTTGTTCTTTTCCTTCTTCACGTTAGTTTTTTTTTCGTATCACATATTTTTCGTTGGGTTGGATTGCTTCATTTATATATATTCATGTATTTTAATATTGAATCTTTTAGTTAAAAAACAAACTTCTTTTTTGGATATCACACAATCCACGATATTGAAATAGAAAAAAATTTTCTTAGAGAATATATGTTATCAAGTATTAATTTTTCTAAATTAAAATTATCTCCTCTTTAACGTAAATATACATGATATTTTTTATCATATGTTAGTTTATTAGGAAATCTATTTATTAAGATTCTACAGAAGCTTGTATTATGCATAAAATATATAGAATAAATTAATTAATCAAGAATAATAAAAATTTTACCTATAATTCATTAGACGTCGTGAAATTTTCAAATAATTTTTTTTATTTAAGAATATTTATTACTGTATTATAGAATATTAATTTGGACAATAAATTTAAAATACAGCAGGTCCATGCAACTCCTGAAAATAAAAAAAAGGTACATCTTGTGAAAATCATATAACCAGTGAGGTACACAGCATTTTCTTACCCGATAGCTCATTTTGACTATTTCGTGTGAGCTTTTTTGTCTTTGCAATTTAGAATATAAAGAAGAAAAAAAAAATATCAGTAATATTGTATTTGATACTATTTGTAAGATATATAAATTTATAAGCTCATCATTCTTCTATCCAGAGATTTGACAAACTTGAAAGTTAAGTGTAACAAAATAATGAATGGCGTTTGAGCATCAATGCAATCAAATTTAGATTTATTAAAAATTTAGCCATTATAAATGACCGGCATTATCAAATTGATTGAAAAATGAACAATATTATTTTTTTTGTGATGTTTAACAAGCATCATTTTGTTTTTGTAAATTGCTATATTTGATCTAATACTATTTTTTCTCTGCATAAAAAATTGTTTATGCTTAGTATAACTGTAGTATAGATTTTGTGCATTTTTATATTTTGAACAACCCGTTCGTTTTAACTTTTTTTTACGTATTATAATTCTAAAATTTATTTTGAATAAATTACTTGCATATACAAAATAATAATTCATATAATTCAAACTAATTATTATGGAAAATAAGCCAAAGTGGTTATGGAAGAATGTTGATTATGATAAATATCAGGTATTATAAATTCACATTTATTATTAATAACTATAGTAATATTGAATTTTTGTAGTTAAAAATATTAATAATTTTTTGTCTATTAAAAGTGGCATGTTACAATTTCTACTATTGATTCAACTATTGAATCAGAAAATGTAGATGAAAAAGTAGTTTATATAGAAGATTTAGAAAAAAGAAGACAAGCGTATGGAATATGTGGAGAATGTAAAGAACCTGGTACAGGAGAATATTGGTGTCAACCTTGTAATGCTAAAAGATTTAAGGATAACTTTAAAAATTGGACTAGTGGAAATAAAGATATTGATGAATTTATACAACAATCACAACTTAATGTTGTGCATTATTATAAATGTCTTGAATGGATACCTTTTGAAAAATTTCAAAATATCACTTATATTGCAGAAGGTGGTTTTGGAAAGATTTATTCAGCTGAATGGCCTGAAGGAAATATTAATTATTGGGATATTGAAAATCAAAAATGGTATAGATACAAAGATTTTGATAAATATGCATTAAAAAGTTTGAATAATTCTTCTGATATATGTTCAGATTTTTTAAATGAGGTAATTTAAACTTACTTTGTCTTATATATAAAGATTGTTATTTGCATTTATTTATTAATAAAATTTTTCCTTTTTGATGATAATTAGATTAAATCTCATCTTCAGATTTATCTTGGTGATATTGTTCGATGTTATGGAATTACTCAAGATCCAAATAATAAAGAGTATATGATGGTTTTAATATATTGTGAAAATGGAAATTTGAGAAATTATTTAAATAAATCAAATAATTATATTAATTATAAATCAAAAATTGATCAATTACAACAAATTGCAAGAGGACTTTTAGATATTCATAATGCTGAAAAAGTTCACAAAGATTTTCATTCAGGTAATATACTATATAGAGGTGGTCCATTTATAAGTGATTTAGGAATGTGTCAACCAGCAAATAAGCGAAAAGTTAAAGAAGAAGGAATTTATGGAGTATTACCATATATGGCACCAGAAGTTTTACGTGGATACCAATATACAAAAGCAGCAGATATTTACTCATTTGGAATAATAATGAATGAGTTAATTTTTGAAGAAACTCCTTATAATGATATCCCACATGACGAATTTTTAGCTATTAAGATATGTAAAGGACTTAGACCAAAAATTTCTGAAGATACACCAAAGTTGCTTGCGGATTTAATAATGAAATGTTGGGATGCTGAAATAGAAAATAGACCAACCACTAAACAATTGTCTCAGATATTAACAAAATGGAATGATGAAATTGATGATAGTGATGATGGTGAAGATAGTGAAATTTATTCTCAAATAAAAGTATGTGATGAAATTGGAGAAAAAAAATTTGGAAGCAGATCAAGCAAAGATAAACCCAAAAATTTTCAAACACATCCACAAGCAATTTATACTAGTAGACTTTTAAATTTTAAAAATCTTCCAAAACCAGTAAATTCTTCAGATTTATCATCTTTTCAATTTAATTCAGGTAGTTTAACTCATTTATTTTATCAAAATTCTATTTTATATTACTAATATTTGTTTACTTTAATATGTACAGATACTAATACTCAATCAGAGTCAGCAAATCCAAGTAAGTGCTTCTACCAATAATTACTATAATATTTACATTCATATTTATTAATTACTATATTATTTAATTTATAGTCTCAGAATGCTTGGACGTCCAATTAAGCGAATTAGGTAAATATTATTTGTATAATGTATTAATACATTTGCAATATAATTAATCTAAGTTAAATTCTAACGATTTATTTGTTTTTCAATAGAACTCAATGAAATTTATCAAGATAATAAAAATGATATTGAATGAGTTTTCCTTGTAGTCTCAGTTTAATTATTTAAAAAACATATATTATAAGTTAGCTTTATTAACATATTTTTCTTATATCGTTATACCTTTATATTGATACCTTGATTTTTTTAATATTTCACATTTATATTTAAGATCATTTTTATATGAATAAATTTTCAAATTTATACTTATTAGATATTTTTATTATTTGATTTTTTAATGAAAAGTGCGTTCGTTTGATATGTATAGTATAATAGTACACTAAGTATAGTATATAAATATTCTTCATTTTTATTATTATTTCAAGGATGGGTAATATGATTTAATTTATAACTCCATAATTTCTTATACTACATAATATGTGATAATTAAGCTGCGTTTAAATTTCAATTTGGTATAGTATATAATCGTCGTTTTTTAAATCAATTTAAAAAAGGACACCAGGACGGTTATTAATATAATGCAGTTAGTCATACCAATATCAACCCTTTCTTTTTAAACAATTAATCTGATTAATCTGTGATTTTAATAATCCTCATGACTAACTTTTAGTTTCACCAAATAGTTTCACGTCCATTCCCCAATTGTGGAAAGAATGTTAATATTATGGATCCAAATTTTACTAGGAGCATTCACCATCATCTCAATCAAGTGGAACTTCAGCATTATCTAATTTGATGGGTGAAAAGTTTCTCTGAAGATCCAATGGAGGGTGTCGAGAATGTTCTATTTCAAAATCGAAAGTTGTGTAACTGTAACATGCGCCAAATGTGTTAAAATTTCCCGAAAGACACTGTCTTTTATCCTGTAAATATGCTGTCCCTATGAAAAAAAATTTCTTTAAAATATACTTAAAATGTACTTATATATTTTAAAATATATCTAAAATGTACTTAAAATTTTCAAATGTACTTATAATATACTTAAAATTGCAATTTTAAGTATATTTAAAGAAAAAAATTTATACTTAAATAACATTTAAAATATACTTAATTGCAATTTAAATATAATTTAAGTATAATTTAAGTGCAAAATTTTATACTTTAAATATACTTAAAATTGCAATTTTAAGTATATTTTAAGTATATTTTAAAATGTTAAGTATATTTTAGGTATATTTTAAAAATATATAAGTATATTTTAAGTATATTTTAAAAAATACATAAGTATATTTTAAGTACATTTTAAAGAATTTTTTTTTTATAGGGTGTGCATTATGATTGCATTGACAATTGAAGCAAAAAGTGTCCTATCCGCCCAGCTAAAGATTCAGAATTGTTTCAAGTAGAACAGGCTTCGAGCACCACGCAGAAAAAACGTTCTAGGAATGAGTCTGACGTATCTACATCCAGTAAATGACAAAGTCCGTTGATAATTCCCTACATTGCAAAGACTGATTAAATAATTGTCTACTACTGATCGTCTGATCCTGAAAATGAAGAAATCTTGCAAACCAACTCACCTCTGAACCGAACGGTGACTCAAATATTTTACTCAACTTATATAATAAAATTTTTGATGGTAAAGACCTTCTTAGAACGACAACACAAGATATCCTTCGACACTACTATGATTTTGGTAAAGCATTATCAAAACAATATGATTATTACAGAGAATTAAAATATGGAGATTTGGCGTCTCAGGCTCTAGTTGCCAAATATGTGAGGAAATAGCTTCCTTCAAAAGGTCTATGGCATCGATGTGGTTGCAGATAGGGGTAGGGCAATGATAGGTCGAGTTAAAACTTTTTCACTATCAATTATTATGGGTTTGTCTTGGGATGACATTAAATATGTAATCGCTAAAATGCTTCGTAGATAATTTTATTGTATTAATAATGAATCTTTAAACATTTTCTGCCAAATTGTGTTTGAATAGATTTTTATAATGCAAAATTATCTTTCGGATATATGAAAAAAATTTGCAACTTGCATTAATTTATAAATTTTATTCATTTAAGCAAAGGGTTTTATACTAGGTTTTAGTATATAAGGAAAGAAAAGTAGAACTGATAAGCAAGATTGCAATTATGGAATGTGTGTTTGTGGGATGTCTGAATGAGTTATTTATACACTAGATATATAGTTACTGTAAAAAAGATCTAAAAATTCTACGTATTTTTTATGATCTTCAAAGAAAGCGATCGTCCTAACTCTAATGTGCCATAGCATCAAACGATGCCAATTAGGTAAAATTAACGCGAATAAGCAAAAAGATTTATAGATCACCTGGCTGAATTGGTGGATTTAATGTCAACTCATTCCCATCAAATTCTCTGATATTGACCTCCAAATTTTTCTTGATGTAGTTTAGGAGATTCAACCTTCTTAGATCGTTGAGCATCTTTTGTAAGAATATTGGTTGGGATGGAAATTCCGTTTGATTCAGTTTTTTTACCACTACATTTATCGTTTTTAGATGTGGTAGTAATTTGTTGTCTTCGGGTTCTTTGAGGTGGAGGCGGGCTTCCCTTTTTGGATATTCCATTAATGTTGGGATAAACCCATACATATTTCCAATTGTTCGTTTATCATCATCGTCATCTGGTTCCTTAAAAAGTAAAAAGTCGTGTGAGTTCAGCTTTATTAATCAAGAACATTATAACAGACTTACCAATTGATCTTTTTCTAGTAACCTCACCAACTGATCCAGAGTTAGTGGTGGAGTTAGTACCATTCTTGTGATCTTCGCTTTTCTTAGACTCGAGGTATGCTAGAAGTTCAACGGATAAAAGTTTAAAATTTGAGACTTTGTAATGTTATAAATAATTATAAATACCTAAAATTTCTTCTTCTTCTATAGTAGGTTTTCCAGCTTATTCCCACTTTTTAAATGCAGTAGAATTAAAATTTTTCTGAAAAGATCTCTCATTCCAGGCTTTTCTAATAACTCTAAAGCTCTTTGGTGCGTGTCGTAAAGCTCGTAGTTCATCCATGTTGATTAGTCTTTTTTTTTTCGTGTTAAAAAACATTTAAATCAAACCAGCATGATTTCGAATACCTCGACATCAAGGTCTAAAATAGGATTGTGATTTTACCGGAAATTTTCCGACATGTTTTCAATTTATCGGTTTTTTTAAAAATTTATCGGAAAAAATTTAAAAAATTCCGGCTTATTAATTTTTATAGCCATTTAGTACTAATTTTTATTTATTTCTATTTTATGTTGTTCATTTTTTTTTATTATTTTATTTGATTCTATTAAATTCCTCTATTACATCTTTGATACCAAATTTTTAATATACGAGATTTTAATGTTTTTTCTTTTTTGAGAAAATGAAGTGGAACTTCTATGAGGATTTGCTTCGTCTAATTTATCTATTTCTTCCTCTATGGAAGTAGTCCTTTTCATTTGTTTATTTTTATTTCTATTATTATTTGCATTAGTGTTAACAGGTTTATAATAATGAAGAAGTGACATTTTTTAAAAGTTCGTGTTTTGATAAAAAAAATTTATAATTTACGTAAAAAATCATTTTCAACATAATTTACGTAAATAAATTTTTCCAGGCAAAAATCCGATTAACATAAAAATTTTCGGATATTTTCAAAATACGTCGGTTTTTTAGACCCTGCTCGACATACTCGCCCAATATTTACATTATCAGCTATGGACGGAAATTCTTGAATAGAATCAATCATGCTTGACGGCACGTTTGACCACAAAGCCCAAGATGTACGGCATGTTAAACGTTTTCTTTTGATGTACACCATTCGAGATTAGACGCCCTATTGCTTGTAGCAATATGGTTCACATATTCTTTACCTTCTTCATTCGGAGAAAATGCTAACGCCACCAAACGATGAACCTGATATTTATAAACCCGGCCAATTCGGTAATAGCCTGCATGTAATGATCTTTTGGTAATTAAGACGTTGGTTAACTGAACCCTTCCTAAGGATGAGACTCTGAATTTCTGTGAATTAATCTCTATTTCTCTCCATTCTTCATCAGGATTTTGTTCTACATAATCTTCATAATATATCCAACATCAACCACCATCGGTATTTAGCTTTTTACTACAACATGCTGAATATAGTTGAGACATTACCAGAACTAGCATCACCATCATTATCATCACTATCATCATCGTCGTCATCATCATCATCATCATCACCATCACCATCATCAATATTATGGTCATCGTTAATATTAGGTAATAATCCAGAACCAGCACAATATTCGCCATCATATCCATTATCTCAATATCCACAATATTCTAATATTCACCACTACCACCGCCATCATCACAATTGTCATCAACACTATCACTTCCTTGTATATTATCAACGAGCTGGCAGGTTGACCGTCATGATCGTCATAATCAGACTTATCAAGAAATGAAACTTTGGGATGAGCGAAAGATGAATGATGAATTATATCCGCAATCACAAAAACTAATGCTATTTTTTGAGATTTTAAGTGTATCACCAGCAATACGGATGAAATTCCAGACTCGAACAACATTTCCATCTAACGTTTTCTGAACGATTTGTCTAGAGTTACCTTGACCATGACTAGGATCTGGGAATAGCATTTTCTTTAGGGGTTACCCATTCCAAATTAACAGCCGATTATCATGTCTGATGTCGTTAACATGATTAACATGGGGCTTTTTTTCTGGATTAGGAATGAATGTTTCGTGCAACTAAAATATGGACACTGGTATGCTCCGTAATACCAATTTTTGGTGCAATATGAACTTTCGTAATACCTAATATAAAACTATATGGTTAAAAAGCCACTGTTTTGAACTTCTATTTTTTGACTTAAAATATTCTCCTTATTCAATATTTTTGGTTTGAAACTTTTGTATGAAGTTTTAAAACTTTCACGAATGTCTATTTGTTTTTGCGAATGTGAAATAAAGAATATTACTGGTTTCCATTTATTAGTTTAGTTTTGAGTCAACAATAGCCATATAAAGTTTATTTTTAGAAATATATCCATTATGTAAATATACACTATTTTTTTTTTATTTTTTATTATTTTTAAATATTAGTTCTTTATTCTGTATACTTTAAAATGATTTATTTATTCTTACGTTTTAAACTTGTTTAAAGACTCTTTAAACATATATATGGTATTTTAAATAATATTAGATTTATTTATTAACTTTGTTTTTTCTCTGTCTTCATGTCTTCGTCGCGGTTAACTAGGGAGGATACTCTACCCTTAAATTTACGCAATTTTTTTTTGCTGATTTTGTGATTTTTCAGGGAAACGAAAAATCACGTGATCAACGCGTAAAAATTAAGTTTTGCCAATAATTCTAAAAATGAGAATAAAAAATAAAAATGAGAATACCATACAACCACTAAAACTAGAATTTTAATGGTATTCTCAATAATAGAGAAACATTTTTTTTTTCGGAATAAATATATTAAAAATTTACAACTGATCGGTTTTTTGACCGGTTTTTTTATATATAAACTGACCGAACCCATAACCGAACCGGACAGGATTCTAACAATTTTACTGCCTCCTTCGGCGCTCTGTAATATTCGGAAGATCCTTCTTTACAAGTGTTAACAGTAAACTACTCGAAAAATAAACCAAAATCGAACTTAAACTCACATTTCCCTTTTGTTTCCTACCCATCTTCGATTTGCCCAAAGTCCAATTCTGCTCTGAAATTAACGTTTTCAAGTGATAATCGCACCTTCTCCATTTAAAAATATTATTTCACGGGTTTTTGAGAAACTCATTTTTTTTATTTTATTTTTCCGTCTAAAATCCCGAAACTCAAAATCCTGACAGGTGAGCGACTTTCGGGCAGCTTTAATGTGGGCTAATTTTCGGAATTTTGTACCTGTCAGGATTTTGAACCTGTCAGGATTTTGGATTTCGGATTTTGAGTTTTCGGGATTTCGTACCATATCCTTCCTATTTACACTGTTTACGGTAATTCTTTTATTAAACAAATATACTTCTAGTGGGGGACCATTCAAAATCCTGAACGATCAAAATCCCGTGAAAATTCAGAATCCCGACACTCATTATCCCGACACTTAATTATTTTTCGGATGCCGCAGAATTGTACGAAATTTTAAAACATCGAATACAACACAGCCGAACGCGCTAAGGCGGCAATAATTTTGTCCATCATTTAATGGCTGAACCTTATTTTTTTTTTTTTTTTTTAGGCGAATATTTTTATTGATATTAATATGTAAAGTTTTGCAAGAATTAATGTTTTTTATTATAAAAATTAATATTTTTTTTTTTTATATGTCGCTACTTTAGAATATAAACACATAATTGAAGGTGTTAACATCAGAAGAAACACAACATCATTTAATGATTACAAAACATTAAAATCTAAAGTTTTATGCTATATTCGTAACAAATTTTATATAAAGTATTGATTTTTCTTTAAAAATAAATATAATTGTGGATAAATATGGCCAGCTACTAAGTAATTATTAATTTTCGCGGCTATGCAAAACTGACCCTTAGGTCAATCTTTACTAGAATTAGATATCAGATATGATCAGCCACTTGTGTAATTTTCTCTTTATGGGTAAAAAGAAAATATGTTATGCTAAATTCTAAGTATGGATTTATAAAAATAGTAACCTCATACTACAATAGTCATGAAATTTTCAGCCTCTGGCAACATCCGATCGAATGAAAATTTTTAAACTGTCGGAGAATTAAATCATGATATAAACCGTCGAAATAAATAACTATGTTGATAATCTATTTTTACCTATGTAAATGAATAACTACGTTTGATAATCTATTTTTACCTATGTACCACAGTAAGGTTGAACGTAACTTCATTGTAGGTGATAAAATATAAATATAATAGGAAAATACTCCGTTTAATATTTATTTATGCAAAGAAATTGTAAATACGAAAATGAAAATAAAAATATCTGAATCATATGATTCATTAACTGGTAAAGAAGATGAGAAGAATTTTATCTGGATGATGGTCTGATCGTATTGAACCAGTAATTACAATGAATAATCTTGAAACTTAAACTTTACCCGAAATTCCATTAGCGAAATAGAAATACAATAAATACAATAGAAAGACTGAATGAATCGAAATTTTTCGGAGAGCGGTGACACAAAAGCTAAGGACATTGCATACAATTAATTATATTTAAGAAGGGTTTACATAATAGATTGATTAATTACGAGATCATTAAAATAATCGCCAAGGGTTTTATTGAAATATTATTTTGGGTAAATTAAAAACTCAAACAAGGGGAAAGACCATATTTGTTTAAATTTTGTTTATTTATTTACAGTATTATTCACGCGACAATAGGTATATTGTTGATTTGAACCGTTATGAATAATATTATATAACCAAACTAAGGTATTATTAAATAAACAAAAAAGGTAAAAAGAAATGTCACGCAAAGTTCTTTTTTTTTCATTAACAGGGATCCTTCATGACTTGAATCGTACAATAGAATCGAATTTATGTTACGGTGATTTGAGAATTCCGTTTTTACTAAGCGATTACTATTAATTTTGACCAGTCTATAAAAAATTTTATCCGTTATTTCTGTAAAAACTCCGTAAATATGAGCCCTTTCACGGGTCCCATTCACAAAAAAATATATATAACTCCGTAATATAAGGTTATTAATTCCGGAAATGTGAACCTTTTACGGAAAAAAAGATGGAATATCGACTTTTTTTTACAGGTCCAGTAATTGTTCTAAGATCCATTTGTCTCTTAATCTAATTTGCGTGGTCCAATAAGATTACGAAAAACTTATTTAAGATTCATTAATTATGAAATCGTCTTAATAATAAGAATTCATTTATATAGTTTAAAGTGACATGTCAATCGTTACATAATTGAACTTACATGTCTAATTGAAAAAAACTACTAAAATAACGAATTAGAGAATTCCCCTACGATGATTGGACGGCTGACGTAACACATAAATTACATTATTGCAACTTATCTAATATATGATTAATTGAAAAAAAACTACCAAAATAACGAATTAAGAGAATGATTGGACGGCTTGGACGCCTTAGAGCGCAAATTAATAAATTATGATATATTGAATCAACAAATTTAGTTGACTAATTATAAGTAAATTATAGATGTAAAAGATTATTACCAAAAAAAAAATAACAATGTTTTATTACAACATATGATATAACGTGAAAATATGATCGTTATCAATTAATAGTATTATCTTTCACACAAAAACTTTTATGAACCACTTAAGATAATTATTACTGTATAAAATTGAAGACAAATAAAATCGAGAAAAGGGAGATTAATTACTAAATATGAGCGTGAATTTTATTTATTTATTTATTTTCTCCGTAAAAAAATTTATCCGTAATTTCTGTGATTTTGATACGTTTACGGAAATAACATGGAATAAAAAAACACGGAATAAATTTTTTATAGAGTTTTTTAATCCAGGATAAGAATTTGTAAACATAAATTCATAAATTAAATTTACACAGTTTCGAATTAAATATAAAAATATTATGTACTGCTGTAAAAACTTCCGTTATATTATACTTTGCTATATACGATGAATCCGTTCCATTAGTAATTTTCAAAATTCGTTATATCTAGAAATTGAACAAATTTATAATAATCCGGTTCAGACAATTTCATATTTACTTATGGTTCGATATACCGAATTTCGCTGTATATATGATCATATATACTGTATGCACTAATATCACGCATCGATTGACGAATTTTAGAGTTTGGTCTATAAGATATTAAAAGTTACACAATCAGGAAGAATTTGGCCAAGCAAATAATAATTGCAATTTAAAATAATAAATCATTTATAATAAACAAATGAGTTATGGTTTAATTTATTGCATTAATTCGTGATTGGTTATCATTAAAAAACAATAATATCAATAATAGAATTTTTAGACCCGTTGACTCAAAATGACGAATAATCATTAGTCGGTGTCGTTACTCCGGACATCTGATGAACATCATCGTAACACGTGAATTATTCTTATTCTAAATTTCTAATCCTGGTAGGATGAATTTATAATCATTATTCTAAGAATTTTCCTATTATAAAATTTTTTTTAAAAAAAAATTCTTTAATAATTTTGCTAAATTTACGTAGAAAAGAATTATTTGAGTGGTCGTAAATATTTTTAGAATATTTCCATTATTGAATATTCTTATGAAAAGGAGTAATTACTTAAATAATGTGTGTGTAACACAGTTATGTCATGTAAATATTTTGTATATGTAATGCATTAATTATTTAATAGATAATCTTGTGATTTGTTACGTTATAACAACAAAACGGCATAGTATTGAGCCATTGACAAATTTGTAAATTCCCGATTAGGGTCAACAAATGTAGTCAATAACATTTAAGTTCAGAAAATTAGAATTCTAGTTATACTTAATGGAGTTTCTTATCCCCGCCTTCTCCTTTTATTTATTATATTAAAAATCAAGTTTCAGTAAAAATAAGCAACCCAATTTTAATTTTACTATTAGGATCATCAGAAAAGGATCCACATAATTATTTTGAAAAAAATTTTCTGTAACTGTTATCTGTTTTATATGATCTTCGTGAAGTTTATACTAAAAAGTTTAATTCTAACTTTAAAATCCCGCACAAACCTATCAATAAATAAAAAACATTGTTATATTAGAAAACGTAATATATATTTGTAATATATATTAAATAAATTAAAAGTAGGGCACACAAACAGTAAGTATAATTAACTTTTTTAATACAAAACAATATATATAAAAGCCGATCAAAAGTCATTTGCACTTCATGATATTCATACATAAATGTACAATAATCTTCCATTCCCTTATAATTTAATCCTTTTCAGTACTTTATAAGAAAAAAAATAAAAAAAAAAAATGTATCTACATTCATCTTCGATTCATATCATTATTTTTATCTCATCATTTCTTTTTTTTATGATACCTTTAAATAATGCTCAGGAGCATTCATCCTATGGTTATGGTGCTGAAACCGATTTTTACATTATTGTTACTATTCCATTATTAGTTAATATCTTTAGTTTTTTAGGAAGTTTATATATTTTTTATCGTAAGTAATTTGATTTATTTGAAATTAATTTTCGAATGAAATCAATTAATATTTTTTGATTTTTAGGAACATTTGTACGATGGAAAAATGATCGTAGAAATATTTCTTTATCATTTAGATTTCCATTTTATATATCAATCACAGGTAAATATAATTTCAATTGTTTTGTATAAATTTATAATAAAAATTTTAAATAATTTTTTTTCTTTTTTTTTAGATTTTGTATATTCTTCATGCATCTTAATGGAGTTTGTAAGTAATTAATAAAAAATTTTTTAAAAAAATTATCACGTTAAATACATTTTAAAACTAATATCATCAATTTATATACAGACATATGTGACGTTTAGTAAATCAGAATTCGTAAATAATAAAGAGTCTGTCACATGGCCATATCTATTCTGTGAAATTATTGGATTAGGCTTTACGTTTATTGTTCTGTTAAATATTTTATTGGTAAATTTTCTTTAAATTTTGTATTATTTTTATATGTATTATTTTACTCTTGATGAACCAACCATGCATAAATTTTCGTTAATAGGTTGGAGCTATATCCATTGTAACTTGGTTAAGAGTAGTTCGAGAACATTATTTAGATTTGGGAAGATATGATTACAAAGTTTGGCTTCCAATCCTTTTCGTATCATCAATTATCCCTCTTAGTACAGTATACGCCCATGGTTCTCGGGGTTATTCGTACGTTACATTTAATATTACATCACAATCATTACGCTTCACAGTGAACGTAACTTGATATATTTATATACACACTATTTGTTTTACTAGGTGCGGGACTAAAATTGGATATCAAATTGTTGGATTCATTGTTCTTGCTATAATACTCGTTACATTAACAACTATCATAATTTGCTACGCATCTGTAATGAGAGCGATTCGTAAAATTAAAGAAGTTAATGAATCCATTACAAATTCGCATAATAATTTGATCCAAATTAACAGTGTTGAAAGAAAAACCTTTAAAAAAATTTTAACTTACATCTTAGTCTTCATTTTACAATACGTACCTATTATGATTTATAACGTTTGTGGATTTTTAAAGGTAAAAAGATAAATGGATATTTGAAATAATTATGATGTTATATTCAATAGTTATATTTAATACAATGATTTGATTTTTTATTTATAGGTTCGCCACGTTATACTTGACGCTCTTATCCCAGCAGGTACAGTAATTTGAATTTATTAATATATAATTATATTAAAAAGTATCCCATTCTAAAATTATTTATTTTTTTATTTTTTTAGTTATAAGTTTAGGAGGAATAGGAAATATAATCCAATTTTTATATAATGAAGGATTATCAGCTAATAAATATACTTCAAATTATAAACTTGAATCGAATGAGCAATCACAGAAATCAAATAATACAATGAGCGAACTTTAATTTTAAAAGAATTAATTTAATTTAATTTAAATAATTATTTTTTTTTTTTTATTATACGAGTTTGATTTTTTTTTTTAAGATTTAATATTTACTTAACACTAGTATGATTAAGAATGTTGAATACAAATATATGTATAATTTGTATATATTGGTTTGTTAATTAATAATAAATTTATGAATACAAATATATGTATAATTTGACATAATTTACTTGCAATATGACGAATTTGACGACATTAACTCAGAATAAGTCATCAACAACTATCATAAAATCTCGCCCACTTCCCGCTACCATTCAAAATCCTGACAATCAGACAAATCATAATCTCGAAAATTCTAATCCAGACACTCATTATTCCGACACTTATCATCTTTATTTTTTTAATTTTACATTAATAATTTTTTTTTTAGACATAATAATTTTGTAATACTTTGTAATAATTAATATTTTTATTGATATGTAATGATATTAGAATGTTTCGCAAGAATAAATTTTAATTTGTTATTTAATTAATTAGAAAAATACTAATAAAATTTCTTAAAATATTGATTAAAATTTTATAATAAATAAATTTTAAAAATTTTGAATTCATAAGAATATTAATATCAGGATAATGATTGTCGGGATTTTGGGATGTCGGGATAATGATTGTCGGGATTTTTGATTTTCGGGATTATGATTTGTCAGTGTGATCGTCTGGTTTTTATTATAAATCTTCTGTATTTCAATAATAAGTTCTCGCTTATTACCTTTGGAATGTTTTCTGATAAATTTTTAAAAGACTAATATAATTTGTAAAATTATTATAGAACATACTGTTTTATTCTTTAAGGTTTTGGTTTGTTACCTAAACTAAGTCCAATAAATAAATGATCATCCTGACTATTTGCGCATTAAATATGCATCTATGCAGTTGTTTGTTTTTTATATTAAAAAAACAAATTATAATAAAGGAGAAATATTACACAAATATAATAAATCCCCTGTAAATAAATATGTACCAAATTATTAATTTTTTTCTAGAAATTTTGAAAATAGTAACCCCACTTAAAAAAGGGGAATAAATGTTCTCGCGATTTTTTATTATTTATTATTTATTATTATTAGTATTATTAAAAATATTAAAAAAGAAAATAAATAAATAAATAAATAAAAAATAAAATTAACTTTTATTAGACGGAACTTATCTAACCTTACTATTGTAATATATATGATATACGGAAGTAAAAAAAATAAAATAAAATGGTTTAATTTCTATCCGTAAATAAACTTAGTAAGCAGGAAGAACAATATAAAGGATTAAATAAGAAGATATTTTCCTAAATTATCGGAATTATTCGGGGGTAGGGATACAAAAGCTAAATTAGCAGATATTTTTTTTTAAAATTGTCGGGATTATTCGGGGGTAGGGATGCAATGGTGATATTATGGAATTAATCTAATTTATTTAATAATTATCTTCGTGTTTGAAATGACATTTTATGGTAAATTTAAATAAGAAAAAATATGCCAAGACGATTACTAGACTAATTTGGAATTCATTAAAAATTAGATAGAAAAAGATAATGGTTGTTTTCTTTTTTTATTTATTTTGTGTTAATAGATAAATGTTACATAATGCAAAGTTAAGTTTCAAGATAAGTTCATTATAATTCAAAAAAAAAAACACATAAAAATCTAAAAATAGTTAATAAAAATAATTGTACAAATTATTTAGATTTTTTCTTCAGGTTATTTGTATCGATTGATTATGCACATTCTCAAAAAGAGTAGGAAGAGAAGGGAGATGTTTGAAAAAAAGTGTGGTAATTATAAATTTCAATGAAATAAAAATTAAAACAATTATGTAATTGAGGATATTGGTATATAAGAAGAATGACAAAAAGAATGTAAAAGAATGAGTTCTTAAAATCTCTCATCCGCTTACTCAAAATTCGTCACGAGCACGTGTTGCGAAACTAACATGTTTATAATAATGAACTCTAATCTCATTAAAATTCGGTATCGGGTCATTCGCCGAAAGCCATTTCGCCGAAAGGACGTTTCGCCGAAAAATAGGACCAACATTATGCAGAATTATAAATAACTCAGGCCAAAGATTATTTTTCGGCGAAACGTCCTTTCGGCGAAATGACCCGATACCTGCTCGAATACCACTTTCATCAATAAACAATAATTAAAATTTACTAATCTTAAAAATCTTTTAATACCTCACCAAGTTAGATTCCGCATTGAAAAAAAATAATTTGTTTCGTTTTCTAGCAATCCATTATAATCGTAAATTATTTTTAAATGCATTTCACATTAAGATCATTGCGTATGGAATATTTTTCTGTATCTTTATTATAATTGGATAAATTTTGAAAAAAGTATATAGCACAAAGATAGGCAGTTCTGTAGATATACTATATGGTCCGTGCCTATGAAAAGTTACTGCTGTACCACAAACTTTAAATTTTATAATTTCGTTTTTATCAGCTGTAAAGATATGATTATAACAGATAACGTACCAGAATTAATAATCAGATTATTTAAATTTTCGTCCCCGTAATTTCCAGTATTCTGCATCTTTATAAATTATCGCCTTCGTCATCATCAATTGACCATCACTTTGAAATTCAATATTGCCAAATAGCATTTATTTTTTCCTAGTCTACGAAAAAACTTTTCCGAAAAACCATGTACTTAATGATCAAATTTTCTATTTAATTCTTGACCGAAATTACCGAAATTTAACTTATCATTCATTAACTCTGACCAAACTGATTTTCTTATATCTTTTTTTTAAATAAATTATATAAGATATTACATAATAATATAATTAAAGATTATCGTCATAAAATTTTGCAATTTAACTATCATAAATTGGTTAACTTAAATCATTTTCATTCAAGCATTTCATATTCTTTTTAATACATTCCAATTTTTTATTTTGATATATGTATGTATATTTATATAAAATTATAAAAATTTTCAAGATAGTCTCATTTTGAATAAGAGATCATCAAATTACTACAATATTATTACATGTAATAACAATCTAGATTTTTATAATTTTTTACTTTGTATAATATTGTAAAATTTTAAATGTTTAAATATTGTTTCAATTATGCATTTATCGAAAATCAACCAAGTATGGTTACAAGGATGATCTAAATTATAACACCAATTTTTTTTGTTTCATTAAATATTAAATCTTAAAATTATTAATATATTAATTAAATAATAATACTTGAATAATAAAGTTGTGACACATAACTCCGGTTCGGATCCTTATAATTCCGGGTCAGCATACATACCAACTTTCCGGGTTGTCGGGTTATTGGCAAGCATGTGACAATCATGACATTTAGTCAATCAATTTTACATCCTTTAACTGAATATTTTTGATTGTAACAAAAAGTTGGGTTTTTTTCTATTTACCGATAACCCAACAATCCGGCAAGTTTGTCGACTACAAATATCCAGTATATTATGGATTATCAGGCCCGGTCGGATTTAAATATGTCCAAATGTAGAAAGAGTATATCCGGGTCAAGATAATGAATACTATTAAAGGAGTATAACTCGAAATATATAAGTCAATCAATATTCACCTCCTTTCCAAAAAAATGTTCATAATGTTAATACACTTTCCTATTTCATATGAAAAAAAAACAAAATAGTACTTTAAATTACTATAATAGAAGTAAAAAAAAAAAAAAAAAAAAAAAGAGTTCACCAATTATTATTCGATAATCAAAATGGGATGCAAGCGGTCGAACTTCTCGAACGTATCACATTTGCACAATTTTGATTTGCCGTAATACGATTAATAACGATTGGTTCATATAATTTTACGAAATCATGTGACTATCTAGGCGGATTAGCCGGTAAATCCTTTGTTATTAAAGACATTTATTTGTGTTACGTATCGGACATATAGTTTATTTGATCAGCATGAAACGTTGAAACGAAAAGTTATAAAACAATAGAATAAATTAATTAATAGATTCTTTTCTAAGTTAATAAAACTCGAAATTTTTCGGAAGGATGGTAATGCAAAAAGCCATATTAAGTAAGATTACTAAAATGTTTCAAGACCAATTATAATAATTATAATAATAGAAAAAAAAATCTCATGATTTTAATTTCCAATAAATTTAATCTTCTAATATTCTTTTCCTTATTATGTTATACAAATCAAAAAATAAAAAGGGAAAGAAAAGAAAATAAACGAGAATGAAAAGAAAACATATTATTTAATTCGTCAAAGTTAATTTTTAGATTATATTAATATGTAAACAAACAGTCTTATTATGTAAAAGAAAGAATAAATAATTACAAATTTTATTAATTATTTGTTGTATTAGATTTTATTTCACCTTTATTCGATTTTTCGATTTATTAAAGTTTAGATAAATTTGCGTGAGGTGATGGATAGCGCGCGTCGCGTGACAGATGTCAATTTCGAATAATTTCTAAGAAAACTATTTTATTTATACTCTAATTTTATAAGGAAACTTTGCGCTATACTGTAACTATTTGTATGTATTTTATTATTAATTCTAAGTCATATGCTCACTAGAAATATTTGTACGTATCCCCAAATAAATATTATTAATTCCAAGTCAAAATATTGCAGGTATCATTATTTAAAATTTATAATTATAATTAAATATTAAATCTATCAGTCTTAATGTACTTGCACCTTGTTAGCTAAATAATCAATACGGTCAGATTCATATTGTGAAAATTACTTTAAAATCTGACGCAAATCGGCATCTGAAAAACTTTCATCCGCTTACTTGTTTTAAGTTTTATAAGTTTAAATTTCATCGTCCGTGCCATATCACGTGAGATGAATAGTTTAATTTCTATTGTTTTATTGTTTTTCTCATTCCAGTTTTTTTTTAAAAAAAAATACTTGAATTTTATTAATATTCTCATAACAAACAGTAAAACAAGAAAATCTATTCTAAAATTAAATATTAAAACTATTGGTGGATATATGATAGCTATTTATTGTATATCAATTAATTGTTATATTAAGACTTTATGCGTTGTGTATATCAAGTCGCCTTAAAATTTGTGATGCATGAATTTTTGATCCATAATTTATTTAATAATTAGAAATTGGATCTAGAATCTGGGGATGAGATTTTTTAATGGATTTAATGGATTTAATGAAGTTTTAATAAATAAACTTTATAATTCTTTAGTATAACTTCAAGTATTTGAATTTTTAATCTTCTTGAAATTCGTTCACTTTGACAAATTTTTTTTTTTTTATAATAATTATTATTCTTACTTTCTTTTTTTTTTTAATATGACGTGAGAATTAATAACTAATATGAAATAAACTTTTACTATAGTTCATTGTAATTTTACTTAATAATCTGAAACGTTGTGCAACATAATTATGTAATGCAAATATTTGTGTACATAATACATAATGTTACGTTACATTTTTACTTTTTATAACGAATACAACGAGCGACGCCGAATTGACTAATTTAATTTTGTAAAGTTTCAGTAATATTTTTCTTCCTAAATGCAAGATTAATAATGCATCAATGATTTAAGGTCCAATCAGATCCAATGAAATTTTTTTTCTTTTTTTTTGTTTCTTCCCCTTTGTGATCTACCAGTAATAAATGAAATTCAATAATTTAATATCCTTGATTTTCAACAAAATAAACAAATATACCATACCTAAAAATTCGTATATTGTCGTCATGTTTACAATTTTCAAGCTTTGATTAGTTTTTTACAATTAATAGGATGAATCCACCTATTATTTTATTGCTCCATACACCCTGCGTTCATCATAGTTGTACAAAATTAAAAACCGATACCGATCTATTAAAAAACGGTGCATAAGGAAAAATGTAATAAATATTATCCGTTATATAATTTCCGAAATTGTTTATATTAAAAGTTTGTGATAGTAGTTTACAATAAAAAAAGTTGTATTACAAACTTTAAAATTCGTTATTCCGTTTAACCGAACCACATTAACTAGGTTTTGATTATCTCATTGTTATGTTAGAAAACGTAATCATAGATCGTTCCTTTTTCGTAAATATTATAAGATATATTTATGTATAATAATTATTAAACTGAACGCACGGATCAAAATAAATAAATGTCACACAACAGAATGTCGGACTTTTTTTTTTTTTTTTGGTATATAAAAGACGTTCGCCCATCTTATTTATAAATATCATTAATAAGAATTTCAAAATTTCACATTCCTTTAAATTTTTAAAACAAAAAAATGAATTCATTCTCATTTTCGATTAAAAAAATCGTATTTATTTCGACATTTCTTTTTTCCATTATACCAATAAATAAAGCACAAAAAGTTGATCCAGATTATGGATATGGCGTTGAAACCGATTTTTATCTTGTGACTACTATCCCATTAATCTTCTCTGTCATTAGTTTTTTAGGAACTTTATATATCTTTTTTCGTAAGTAATAAGTAATTTTTTAATGATCTTTTAATCTATGATCAATTTTTAAAATTTAAATATATTTGATTTTTATTAAGGAATGTTCTTACGATGGAAACGTAGTAAGAGAAGTATTCCTTTGTCATTTAAATTCCCATTTTATATAGCGATTACAGGTAATTTTTTAAAATTGTTTTTTTTTTAATAACGATAATTTTTAGTATAATAATTATATGTAATTCTTTTATATTTAAGATTTTCTATATTCTTCAGCCATCTTAATTGAGTTTGTAAGTAAATTATTAATAAATTTTTTTCTTATTTAGAAAAAAAAATGGTCAAATTAACCATGATTTTAATAACTAATTATTGTCGTAAATTTATTATATAAAGGCATATACAGCTTCAAATAAAACAGATTTCGTAAAAAATAATGAAACTAACACATGGCCATATCTATTCTGTGAAATCCTTGGATTTTTAATAGTTTTTTTCGTTTTACTAAATATAATATTGGTAAGTTTTAATAATAAAGAATTTAGTTTTTAAAATAAAAATTTGATTTTTAATAAAAACATAAACTATTTTTAATAATAGGTAGGAGCTATATCTATTGTAACTTGGTTACGAGTAGTACGAGAATATTACTTCGAATTTGGAAAATATGATTATAAAATTTGGCTTCCAATTATTTTCATATCATTAATCATCCCTCTAAGTACATTAAATGCCTACGGTTCTCGAGGATATTCGTATGTCACGTGCTATTTTTTTTTGTCATATTAATTATCACGCGATCAGCATTCATTTTTATTCTGTTTTTAATTAGATGTGGAACTAAAATTGGATCCGATCTTGTAGGAATAGTGGTTTTTGTTCTAATAGTAGTTACATTGTTAACTATCATTTTTTGTTACGTACATGTATTAAAAACGATTCGCGATATTCAAGGACATATCCCAAATTCAAGTATTGAAGCAGTACGAAATTCTAATGTTGAAAGGAGAACTTTTAAAAAAGTTTTAACTTATATTTTAGTTTTTATTTTACAATACATTCCCATTTTGATTTATAACATTTCTATGATATTAAGGGTAAAAAAAAAAAAATTTTTTTATTTTTCAAGTAATTGTAATTATATTACTATATTAATACAATGTTTTTGATTTATAGGCTCGACATATTATATTAGATGCTCTCAGTCCAGCAGGTAATTTATTTAAAAGATAGTATAAAATATGTAAATATTTCAAATTATTTATTAATATATATATATATATATATTCTTTTTAGTTATATGTATTGGCGGAATAGCGAACGTATTTCAATATTTACGTAATGAAGGATTAAAATTTTCACATACTAGTAGTAATAATTCTTCAAGTTATAAACTTGAAGTGGAAGAAAGATCAGATGATACTACACAAGACGCTTAATTGATAGGATTTTTTTTTTTAAAAAAATAATAATATTTTTTAAGTATAATTTATTAAGATTATTTTAAGATTATTTTTAAGATTTTAAAATTTTGTACTATATTTTTTAATCGTTAAGTTAAATATATTACTAGTTAATATTAATTGATTTAATAATATTTAGTGATAAAATATATTGTCATACGAAATACGAATCATCATTATATTATTATTAAAAAGTTTTTAGGGTCGGAACTCGTGTTATTTCACGGGGATACTATGGATATCATCAATTGATTTCTCTCACGGAGCAGCCGTGAAAAATCCTGATATTCCATAGTAACTCCGTGAAATAACTATTATTTAGATTACATTAGTATTGTATTATGGTCATTATATCATATTTTATTTTTTTCTATTCCTCTCCCGGATACTTAATGATCAGCGTAAATTCCCAAACGTATACAAAAATGAAATACAGGGGTACGATGTACGCAAATTTAGGGGTATTTCCCGGTATCGCCGATCATAACTAGAATAGTTAACTGGACCTTATTTTTAATTCCTTAATTTTAATTTTATTAATTTGATAATTTGAGCACCACCAATTGTATAATATTTACATCATACTAAATATAGATAACATTTTTTTCGGGTTCTGCCGAATAATAAATTTTTTTTTCAACCGAACCGAAAAAATTGATACAAATGATATGGTTGGATATAAATAACTATTTTTCTGCATAAATTTGTTTTTCTTATTTAAATGGAAATTTCTCTTGTTATATAAATATATTAGTAATGTTGTTTCAGTTTAAATATTTGTGTGAATTTTTCATCCAGGTAATGACATGGAATTGGACTTGTATATGCAATGAATAAGCCCTGTTGTTTTGTAACCGTGCGTGAACAATTAATTATCTTAAAAATATCAGAAGGGGTTAATTAATTATATTTATTATAATTAAAATAATTTAGCAAAGTTACATAAAAAAGTTTGTTCAATTTTTAATTTTAATAAATTAGGAATTTAAACTCCATATTTGTTTAAATGATTTGACCGATATATTTTTTTTTATTATTTTGAAACATTATTATGTAAAGTTATTAGATAAATTTCTCGCGAATTTTCTTGGCAATCAAAAAATATAAAAAGTAATATTTCAATCATTTCAAAAAATAAACAAAAAAAAGAAATGTAACACACGAAGTCCAATTTTTGGGTTCGCGATCGAATTACGTCCAATCGTCAGATGATAATTGAACTCACATCACATGAATATTACCTGAATCGCCTAAATCGTATAATATAATCATAATTTGACCCCAATAATAATTTATAATTTTTAGGTAATATCAAATATCGATATATAAAGTAAATAGGCGTTTAAAAATTGAACTCAGTATCCCAAGTATGACGAACTTTAATTTTGAGAATACAATGATTACAATGATTGTAAATTTATTTATAAATTTATGTATAATTTATGTATAAACATTATTGTGTTTAATTGATAAAATGTGGAATTTTTACCAAAGTTATATAATTTATTCTATATTTTTTTTTTATTTATTATAAGAAATAATTTGAGTGGTTGTTAAAATATTTTTTTTAAAAAAAAATTTTTTTTAACAGGTTAATTCATATTATAAAAAAAAAAGAATAAAAGCGTAAGCGTATGTGTAACAACATTATGTCATGTAAATATTTTGTGTATGTAATAATATATATAATCATTTAATGGTAATCCTGTGGTCCGTTACGTATTTTTTTTTTTTTTAGTACAGCATTTACTAATTTGTAAATTTCTGATAATCATCTACAAGCAATTCATATTTTTTTTTAAACAAATACAATACGTCAATTTAAACAAGTTAATTTTATTACTTCATTTCCTTCTTCCTCATTTGTAATATCGTATATAAACAAACTGAATTTTTTTAATTGGTTAACGATTACAATTAGGATCGTCGCAGATGGATCCACATGATTTACGAAAACATTTATCTGCTATCTGCTAACTGTTATTATTTATCTGCTATCTGTTATATGATCTCCAGAGAAATTGTATCACAAACTTTAATTCCCGAAATAACTATCATTATATCATTGTTAAAATGTTAGAAAACAAACATCACATAGTGAATAAAATAACAGTTTAATCACTTTCTTACGACACATACATGTATATGATTCATTATTATTTATTTTCCGTTTTATATAACAATTACAGGTTAAAATATGACAATTGTTTGGAGCGAAGCGACAAATTTGCGTTAATCCATACATTTTCCATTGACAGTATCTACCTAAATAATTTCGATTTTCTAAAATTTATCTGTTATGAAGTGCGATGAACTTTTAAAGATTCTTTTTCTTGTAAATACAATAACTAATAAACAATTGATATTAAGATTCCGTAAATAATATCTATTCTTAAATTCTTGAAATTCTTTAATTTAATTTTCGATGATGCGTAAATAAACGTTACGAGAAGTTCAAGAACGCTATTTGACATTGTGAAAATATACATAATTACAAAATTTAGCTTCCAATTATCATCAATTATTCAGTAAGCGTAAAAGTTGTTCGATCGTTACGCGTCACAATAAACATAACGTAATATATTCATATACAGTACGTACTTTTATATGAGCCTAAAATTGATATAATACTGTCTAGTAATTATCACATTGTTAATTTAACGTGTTTTTTTATGTACATGTAATATTGGATACGATTTGTAATGTTAAAAAGAAAATTCATTCATTACAAACTCGCATAGTAATATTACACAACTTACCAATATTGAAAGAACTTTAAAAACAGTTTCAAATCCTTTATTTTATAATAAATTATTATATGATTTATAACAACGTTCATGCATTTCTAAAATAAAAATCGTATTAGTATATTATACTTAAGTACTTAACGTTCTCATTCCGACGAGTAATTTGAATTTGTGAAAATTTACTTGCTATTACTAATGAAATTGTTTCGAATTGTATCTAGAATAATTTGATTAATGCATTCAACATCATAAACATTTACAATTCTTGGAAAATTTTTTATCAAATATTTGCTTACCCTAAAATTTTATTATTATGAAATTAAATTACAAGATTATGTAAATTCAATTTATCAGTATGAGATAATAAAATTATACTAATCGTAACAGGTAAAATATTCAAAAGTTTCGTAGTATATTAATGTATCATTACTAAATCTGGTTGTTATGTTTTCATTAAATATTGTGTGTAATTTCTCACTTGATAACAAATAATTATTACATATTAAAAAATATTAATTATTTTATATTTACAAATAATAATGCTATCTATTTTATTAGATTAAAAAGGGGAATTTATGCCCGAAATATTCGAATGGTAAGTTTTTTATAGTGATTTGCGGAATTCTGAAATACGTTTAAGGTTTATTATTTTGATTATTTTGATTATATTGGTCGGCTGAACTAAATAGGAAATCATCAAAAATAATCGCATTATTTTTATTATTTTTATTATATGATTATTTTTATTGATTACAGAAAATTGCAATCCGCAATAAATAAAAAAAATTAATTGTACAGTAAATAGACGAGAATAAATGGTTACGTTTTTGCACGATTTATTTTTCCCAAAGCTCTCAGAAATAAAAAAAAAATTATTTAAATTAATTATAATTTACGGCAATTATACGGAAATTACGTACGCTTATACTATTTATGCCAAGAAAATGTACTAATTACTACCATTTAACTAAATGATTGAAATGTAACTCTTAACGAATCAAGTGAATAAGGAATTTGTAAATAACCTGAGACAATAAATATTATAAATAATCTCGAAATTTACCGAAACCTTATTGCTGTGTACAATATAAATTAAAGTTATATCAATTATATCGCAAATATCGCAAATAAACCGTTTTAAATTCTTTTCCATAAATAAATTTATTAATAGAGCAAAAAAAAAAAATTCTGTAAAAATATGTGATATGCGACAAACTGTATATCATAGTTTAAAAAAACCAGTTTTTTATGTTTTATAAATTCACCATTATATGTAATCATTATTGGATGATCACAAAACAAAACCATTTATGCTTATTTGTTTATTTTGTGTCAATAAATAAAAGTAAAATAATCAGATTATTCAGATAAGTGATATAAATGAAAACGCCACACAAAAGTCTAGACCTTGTTTCGTAATAAGTACAAACTATTTAGAATATTCTTTTTTATTTTTTTCATCAATTTTATATGAAATTTCGCTTCGGCATATTTCATATATCACATACCTTGAATTTTAATTTCTGTATTTCAATAAATATTATTATTTGTATCATTAATAATCTATATAATTAAAAAAAAAGTTTTATTTTTGCAAGATTTTCGAAATCTAATCTTTAATACAAGATTTTATCGGGGTTAATAAATTCCGTCAACGCAGGCACGTGAAGTAGAACTTACCAGAATAATTATACATATTAGTAAATGGAACATACCTTAATATCCCCCACCTAACTATTTCATCACCTTTTTCTTTTTATTTATGCGTGATATTTGTTTTTAAATGTATTTTGTTTTGTTAGAACTCTCAATGATAAGATTAATACTCTAGATATAATTGGATAAATTAAAATAAAAAAAATTCAATATTAGTACAAAAATAAACAAGACCCGTAGGGCCGTGCTTATGGAATGTTTGTATCAAAAAAATTGTAGCACAAATTTTATAAGTAATATGTTTGTTTTAATTATCTCATATAACATGTTATAATACATAATCAACCGTTTTATTTTCGCACAAATTATATAGTATTATACAGCGTATATCATTTAATTTTTATTTTCAGTAGGAGTGCAAACTATATATAAAAGCTCCCAATCGTTTATCGTCATTATTACTTACACGTTATTAATTTTATAATCATATAATAATTTCAACATTCGCTTAATATTTTTATAGAAAAAAAATGGATTTAATCCCAATTTTATTTCGTATCACTATTTTTATATTATCGTTTCTTTATATGATACCTTTAAATGAAGCTGCTCCAACACATTCGTCACCTTATGATGCTATAACCGAATTTCACATTGTGTTTGTTATTCCAATAACTTTTCATTCCACTAATATTTTAGGAACTTTATTTATCTTTTACCGTAAGTAATTTTATTAATCTAAAAAAAAAAATAGATTTTGAATTCAACCAATTAATATTTTCTATAGGAACGTACTTACGATGGAAACGTGATCATAGAAGTATTGTATTATCACTTAGATTTCCATTTTATTTAGCAATTACAGGTAAGCAATCTCAATTTATTTTCATCATGTTTTACTGTTTTAATTATTTATAATAATTATTATATATATATAATTATCTTTATATTATAAGATTTTCTTTATTCATCGTCAGACCTAATCAATTATGTAAGTAAATTAGCAAAAATATTTATTAAGATTATATTAACTAAAATTTAAAAATAATCATTATCGTTATAGTCATTATTTAAAATATTCATTATCGTTAATCTTATAGTCATATTCGGCTTCAAATAAATCAAAATTCTTAAATAATGAAGTCATCACTTTACCATCTCCATTATGTGAAATCATGGGATTTTCTATCGTATTATTCGTTTCTTTTAACGTGTTATTGGTAAGTTTTTTAAAAATTTGACCTTATAAAAACCCTCGACACATCATGTTTTTCGGAATTACGTTTAATTTTTAAAAATCTTATCAATAGGTTGGAGCTATATCTATTATCACTTGGTTACGGGTAGTGCAAGAATACTATTTCGAATTAGGAAAATATGATTACAAAATTTGGTTTCCAATTGTTATCTTATCATTAATTTTCCCTCTAAGTACGCTAAACGCCTATGGTCCTACAAAATACAAGTATGTCATTACGTTAATCACTTAAACCATGTAATCAGTCAAATGATCAACCACGTGATGTTCATACACTTTTTTTTTTATTAGTTGCGCGACTAAACCTGAAGCTAGTGCTGTAATGACAATATTTTTTATTCTAATAGTTCTCATATTAGCAACTATTGTGTTTTGTTACGTACATATATTAATAACGATTCATAGAGTTAAAGAAGAAAATTCATCAGTCTCAAGTTCGAATAATAGTTGGATGTATCTTAACAATATTGAAAAAAAAACTCTTAAAAAAGTTTTAACTTATATTTTAATATTCATATTACAATATGTTCCTGTTCTAATTTATAACATGTGTAGATTATTAAAGGTAAAGATAATGTCCTTTATTTATTTATTTTTATTTGTTTTTTATGAAATTGTTTATAACAATATAATTTAAAAATAATTAGATTCAAAATTTTATAATTGGTGTTATCGTTTCTTCAGGTAATTTTTTTTTTAAAATATACATATATATATATATATATTTGTTTTATATTGATCGATATTTAACAAAAAGTATTAATTCTATTTTTTTTTAGCTATATCTTTAGGAGGAATAGGTAACGTAATTCAATATATATGTAATGAAGGATTTAGATATCAATCATCAAGCGTTACTTGTTCAGATTATAAATCCGAAACAAAAGCTGAAGCAGATGATGAACAGAAATCAAATGATGATTCAATTATTACTAATAATGTATGATTGATTATTTGATAATATAAAATATGTAAAATTATTTTTTTATGTTTGTAAGAATTTTATTAAGTTTTAATATAATAATAAGTTCAATGTAATAAGTATAAATTTATTTATAATGTATAAATTCGTATTAAATATAAATGTATAAAATTCGATTATACAGTTAAACGTAATGATTAAAGATGTTAATTAAATAAATTATGTTATACAAATATTTATTGATTATGAAAATGAAAAAAATATTAAAATAAATATTATGATTTACACCAATCACTAAATTGATCGATATGAATACAAAAAAGGAAAAAGTCAAAATTAACTGGAAATGTATTATGTAGTTTGCCAAACATGAGATCGACAATTAAAATTTGTGTATAGTATGTATACGTATACGTAATTACGTATCGTCACTTCTCGATACTTGGCCTGACGACCATCTCGCCAGGACCCAGAAATATATATACAGGGGTAGGGTACACAAATGCGTCGCCATCATAGTGGAATTAGACGGAGTAAAGTTTTGATTTGCGTACAATTTTAGAATTTTTCATCTATAGTTAGGTCATCAAGATTGCGTATTTTTTATCAAAATTTTTATATGTAAAAAATTAGTTTGCGTATTTTTGACCTAAATTTGGCTAATCTTATATATATAATATATTTACTGTAAGTACTTATTTAATTAACCGAATTGTAAGAAATTTCTAAGGGTTAAAAAGTGAAATTTTAGAAAAATATTATAAAAAAATGGTAAATTCTATTTTTTCACATTAGTATTTTGTTTTATAAATAATATAGAAGCCATGATAAAATAATTAATAACTTAATGTCTGAAATTTTATTTGCGTATTTTTGCAGGATTTTCAATATCAGGTGTCAATTATGCGTACTACTCATATAAAAAGTCTCTGCGTACAGCTCATAGTAAAAAAATTTTTAGCCACCTGACCCCTATATATATATTTCTGGGTCCTATCTCGCCAACCCTGCTACCCGCTGAACAGGGGCATTCATATAGAATTATTTTACCTTTGCAAAAACTGTGGAATAGCTAATTTAAAAAGTTGATTAAAAAAAGAGGTTACTTTTAGCATATGAGAAATTAACATTAAAAACAGATTTCTTCAGATTTTTTTTTTTTTCTTTTTTTTTTTAAAAAAAAAAATTAGCAACGCGTTTATTAATTTATTAATCAATATATAGAAAAGATTACATAAACATTAAAACACTAAGAAAGCAAATTAAAAATTAATTTACTCTCTATAACTAAAGTATTCGAACAATACCTATATACTAAAAAACTATCTAATCTAATCTAAAATGTAAACTAAACTAATTTTGGTATTAAATTCCAACTTTTCGTATCTTTTCCTTCTGTGAACCTACCAATTATTTTACTAATTTAATATCATTTTCTCTCTTTTTATATTTTTCGTTAATTTTTAATTATTTTCTTCGATTTCTATATTTTTATCTTCACTCTCTATATCTCTATCTTTAAATTTTCTAACTCTTTTATCTGATTTTTTAATACCTAAACTTTGTTCTAACTCGTTACTAACTTCATTACACCTTTTGATCTAAAATTCCTTCTTTAACGCGTTAAAACAAAACACCCAAAGCTCATTTATCAGTTCTTTCTCATCTTTATCTTTTGATACTTTATTAAATTTACCATTATAAACTCCTCTAATCAATTCCCAATATTTATCTTTTCCGATCAGAACTTCTGATTTTTCATACAAAATCTTTAAAAAACTAAAATTCATGTTCTGTAATAATTTTACTTCCTCATGCTTTTCTTCATTCAATAAATGTTCTTCGAAATCACTAATCGAACGTTCTATAACTTCTTTAATCGTTAACTCGTTCTTTTCACAGATCCATAAATGATCCCAATTTTCAACTCCATTTTTACATCTAATACATTGATCTGTTTCTATCATATTCACATCTCTTTTGTACAATATCTCGTAGGTCGGCAATTCTTTTAAAAAATTTTTAATTTTATATGAACGTTCCCATACATCTTCTTTTTCGATTTCCCATGATGTACAGTTACTATTTCGATTACTAATAAATTGTAACGTTCTATTCCAATCAAATTCGCCTTTATGATTATAAAAAAACAAATCTTCCACCTTCCTACTGTTAAGCATTTCATTTTTCCAAATTAATTCAGAACATTTTTTACGCCACGCTCTAATGCCTCCAGGAATTAAATGTTTTTTCCAATATAGATTAAAATCGTCGAAAGACATTGCTTTCAGATTTTTTTTTTCAGTTTCATCAATTAAAACTAAAAATGATTATCAATTATGCCGAAAATAATCAAAGAATTTTTTTTTATCAAAATAAAATTTTACTTCGCATAGATTTTACTAATGTTAAATTATTTTTTAAATTCAAATTATTAAAAATCCGAATCTGATGATAAAATGATCAGCAGTATACCAAACTTATACTAATTTTTTTATAGTGAATGTGTGATGACCAAAGATTTATTTTTGTTTAAAAAATGTGTTGTATAACTGAAAAAGAAAACCATAATAAAATTTTGTAAGTTCTGAGGAATTTGGGAAACTTTAGAAAATTTCAGAAAATCATAATTTAAATTAAAAACTCATAACGAACTTTTTTTCTTTAAATCAAAACCATTTATAATTAATTTTATCACTATATACCGACTTTATTATAAATTTCGCGATATTACCGAAGTTTAATTATAAATCAGTCATATTTATTTATTCGCGATTAACTGATACCTTCTTAATTCCGGCCGGAATTAACTTAGTCTCGGCCGGCACTATTCAACGCAGCAGATCAGTCACCTGATATCTACGAGTCTTAAAAGTTTCCATTATATAGTATTGATACTATAAACATATTTTGACAAGATAAAATATCTGACATTACTTGATAATATATTTAAGTATACCGAATTTTTATATTTAAATCGGTATAATAAAAATATATTGATTTATCGAATATTTGATATAACGACCAAAAATCAGGACCTGAACGGAGGGTTCATATCGAGTTCTGATTGTAGATGTTTATCAAAATTTAGATTTTTTTAATAAAAGATGTGTTAAAAGTTGGAACGGCCCTACTGTACTATTCTTTTAAATATATTACTTGAAAAATACACCCGTGTTAATAAACACTCATAATATTTCCACTCCAAAAAAAAAAATTCATTTCCAAATGTTTGAATAAATTAAAACACCTTATGGTTGAAATTAACTATAAGTAGTAGCGATAAGTCACATGAAATTCCTAACGTTAAGTTAATAAGTTATGTAAACGGAATGATTACATAAAATCTTGATCTTTTGATCTTTCATATAAAATATATATGTCCTGATACCGATTGTTATGCGTATAAGCGTATTTTTTTCCCTCAACATGATCATCTCTTACGATAATTTCGTAATGTAATCGTGCTATATTCCCATTTTTTATATCCAATTTGCTTATACGTTAATATACAGTATATTTATTTATTTTATTCTTATTTTTATTTTTTTTCTCGAAATATTTTTCATGTTTAATTATTAATTTATTCAACATGTGGGATATTTTATGGATATTGTACGGTGTTGTATTTATATTGATTAACGTCACGAATTGAAACATTATTATGTAAAGTTATTAGATAAATTTCTCGCGAATTTATCTTGGCAATCAAAAAATATAAAATAATTTCAAATTATACAAATCATTTTAAAAAATAAACAAAAAAAAGAAATGTAACACACAAAGTCCAATTTTTGGGAACGTGATCGAGTTGCGTTCAGTCGTCAAATGATAATTGACTCGCGTCACCTGAATATTGTCTGAATCTCCTGAATCGTATAATATAATCATAATTTGACCCAATAACGATATTATCTTGTGACCCATTTTATGGACTTTAGCTTAATTATAGCTTAATTATAGATTATTTTTGATTTTTAAGAATAACAAAATTATCGGCAATTATGTTTAATATACGGAGCACGATAATAATTTATAATTTTAGGTAATATCAACATATAAAGCAAATAGGCGTTAAAATTGGCCCAGTATCCCAGTATGACGAACTTTAATTTTTGGGAATACAATGATTACAATGATCGTAAATTTATGTATAATTTATGTATAAATATTATTGTGTTTAATTGAATTTTACCAAAGTAATATAATTATTCTATATTTATTATATGAGTGGTTGTTAAAATATTTTTTTTAAAAAAATTTTTTTTACAGGTTATAAAAAAGAAATAAAAGTGTAACATTATGTCATGTAAATTATTTGTATATGTAATAATATATAATCATTTAATGGTAATCCTGTGATCCGTTACGATTTTTTTTTTAGTATCAGGCGATGCAGGCGTGCAGCATTTACTAATTTTGTAAATTTCTGGTAATCATTTACAAGCAATTCCCATTTTTTTAAACAAATACAATACGCCAATTTAAACAAGTTAATTTTATTACTTCATTTCCTTCTTCCTCATTTGTAATATCGTATACCGTAATATGATTTTTAGTAAACAAACCTGAATTTTTTTAATTGGTTAACGATTACAATTAGGATCGTCGCAGATGGATCCACATGATTTACGAAAACATTTATCTGCTATCTGCTAACTGTTATTATTTATCTGCTATCTGTTATATGATCTCCAGATTAGAAATTGTATCACAAACTTTAAATCCCGAACTAACTATCATTATCTCATTGTTAAATGTTAGAAACATAGTGAATATATATGATTTATATAACAATTACAGGTTAAATATGATTTAAATGTAAAGATAGTAATTGTCTGAGCGAATCAACAAATTTGCGTTAATCCATACATTTTCCATTTATCTACCTGATATAATACTGTCTAGTAATTATTTCATTGTTAATTTAACGTGTTTTTAATGTACATGTAATATTGGATACGATTTGTAATGTTAAAAAGAAAATTCATTCATTACAAATTCGCATAGTAATATTGTGCAGCTTACCAATTGAAAGAACTTTAAAAACAGTTTCAAATCCTTTTACTTTAGAAATGATGAACGTTATGTAAATCATATAATAATTTATTATAAAATAAAGTACATTTTTCGACGTGGTAGTATATTGTACTTAACGTTCTCATTCCGACCGACATTCGATGAAATTGTTTCATTAATGCATTCAGCATCATAAACATTTACAATTCTTGGAAAATTTTTTATCGAATATTTGCTTATCCTAAAATTTTATTGTTATTATTAAATTAAATTACAAGATTATGTAACTATATGTATAAAAATTAAATTTGTTAATATGAAATAATAAAATTATACTAACGTAACAGTAGTTTCGTAGTATATTAATGTATCTTTACTAAATCTGATTGTTATGTTTTCATTAAATATTGTGTATCTATCTGTGTAATTTCTCACTTATTTTGTAAAAAAACAAATAATTATTACATATTAAAATATTAATTATTTTTTAATTTTTCCAAATAATAATGTTATGTATTTTATTAGATTAAAAAGGGGGAATTTATGTCACCCGATTCTGCTAGTAGTAATACCCGAATGGTAAGTTTTTATAGCGGTTTGCAGAATTCTGAAATACGTTTAAGGTTTATTATTTTGGTCAACTGACTGAACGAAATAGAAAATCATCAAAAATAATCGCATTATTTTTATTATTTTACTACATGATTATTTTTATTAATTACAGAATATTGCAATCCGTAATAAATTAAAATGTAATTTGGTACAGTAAATGGACGAGAATAAATGATTACGCTTGCGCGATTTATTTTTCCCAATGTTCACAAAAAAAAATATATTTATATTAATTATAATTTACGAAATTATATTTCTCTTTTAATGGGAATTACGTACGCTTATACTATTTATGCCAAGAAAATGTACTAATTACTACCATTTAACTAAATGATTGAAATGTGACTCTTAACGAATCAAGAGAATAAGGAATTTGTAAATAACCTGAGACAGTAAATATTATAAATAATCTCGAAATTTACCGAAACCTTATTGTTGTGTACAATATAATTAGTAAAGTTATATCAGTTATATCGCAAATACCGCAAATAGAACGTTTTAAGTTCTTTTCCATAAATGAATTTATTAATAGAGCAAAAAAAAAATTCTGTAAAAATACTAAATAATTCCAAAATTATCAAAATTTTTTAGGGGAAGGGACGTAAAATCTAACATATTTTAAATGTCTATGCAACAAAGTACTGTATATCATAGTTTAAAAAAAAACAGTTTTTTTTATGTTTTTATAAATTCACCATTATATGTAATTATCATTGGATGATCACAAAGAAAAACCATTTTTGCTTAAATTTTATTTATTTGTTTATTTTGTGTCAATAAATAAGAGTAAAATAATTAGATAAGTGATATAAATGAAAACGCCACACAAAAAGTCTAGACCTTGTTTCGTAATAAGTACAAACTATTTAGAATTTTCTATTCAAATTTATTTGAAATTTCGCTTCGGCATATTTCATATATCACATACCTTAAATTTTAATTTTTGTATTCAATAAATATTATTATTTGTATCATTAATAATAAAGTTGAAAAAAAAATAGTTTTATTTTTGCAAGATTTTCGAAATCTAATCTTTAATACAAGATTTTATCGGGGTTAATAAATTCCGTCAACGCAGGCACGTGAAGTAGAACTTACCAGAATAATTATATATATTAGTAAATGGAACATACCTTAATATCCCCCACCTAACTATTTCATCACCTTTTTCTTTTTATTTATGCGTGATATTTGTTTTTAAATGTATTTTGTTTTGTTGGAACTCTCAATAATAAGATTAACACTCTGGATATAATTGGATAAATTAAAATAAAAAAATTCAATATTAGTACAAAAATAAACAAGACCCGTAGGGCCGTGCTTATGCAATGCTTGTATCAAAGAAATTGCAGCACAAGTTTTATAAATAATATGTTTGTTTTAATTATCTCATTAACATGTTATGATATATAATCATGACCGTTTTATTTTCGCACAAATTATTATTATACGGCAGATATCATTTAACTTTATTTTCGGTAGGAGTGCAAACTATATATAAAAGCTCCCAATCGTTTATCGTCATTATTACTTACACGTTATTAATTTTATAATCATATAATAATTCAACATTCGCTTAATATTTTTATAGAAAAAAAATGGATTTAATCCCATTTTTATTTCGTATCACTATTTTTATATTATCGTTTCTTTATATGATACCTTTAAATGAAGCTGCTCCAACACATTCGTCACCTTATGATGCTATAACCGAATTTCACATTGTGTTTGTTATTCCAATAACTTTTCATTCCACTAATATTTTAGGAACTTTATTTATCTTTTACCGTAAGTAATTTTATTAATCTAAAAAAAAAAATAGATTTTGAATTCAACCAATTAATATTTTCTATAGGAACGTACTTACGATGGAAACTTGATCATAGAGGTATTATATTATCACTTAGATTTCCATTTTATTTAGCAATTACAGGTAAGCAATCTCAATTTATTTTCATCATGTTTTACTGTTTTAATTATTTATAATAATTATTATATATATATAATTATCTTTATATTATAAGATTTTCTTTATTCATCGTCAGACCTAATCAATTATGTAAGTAAATTAGCAAAAATATTTATTAAGATTATATTAACTAAAATTTAAAAATAATCATTATCGTTATAGTCATTATTTAAAATATTCATTATCGTTAATCTTATAGTCATATTCGGCTTCAAATAAATCAAAATTCTTAAATAATGAAGTCATCACTTTACCATCTCCATTATGTGAAATCATGGGATTTTCTATCGTATTATTCGTTTCTTTTAACGTGTTATTGGTAAGTTTTTTAAAAATTTGACCTTATAAAAACCCTCGACACATCATGTTTTTCGGAATTACGTTTAATTTTTAAAAATCTTATCAATAGGTTGGAGCTATATCTATTATCACTTGGTTACGGGTAGTGCAAGAATACTATTTCGAATTAGGAAAATATGATTACAAAATTTGGTTTCCAATTGTTATCTTATCATTAATTTTCCCTCTAAGTACGCTAAACGCCTATGGTTCTACAAAATACAAGTATGTCATTACGTTAATCACTTAAACCATGTAATCAGTCAAATGATCAACCACGTGATGTTCATACACTTTTTTTTTTATTAGTTGCGCGACTAAACCTGAAGCTAGTGCTGTAATGACAATATTTTTTATTCTAATAGTTCTCATATTAGCAACTATTGTGTTTTGTTACGTACATATATTAATAACGATTCATAGAGTTAAAGAAGAAAATTCATCAGTCTCAAGTTCGAATAATAGTTGGATGTATCTTAACAATATTGAAAAAAAAACTCTTAAAAAAGTTTTAACTTATATTTTAANAAGAAAATTCATCAGTCTCAAGTTCGAATAATAGTTGGATGTATCTTAACAATATTGAAAAAAAAACTCTTAAAAAAGTTTTAACTTATATTTTAATATTCATATTACAATATGTTCCTGTTCTAATTTATAACATGTGTAGATTATTAAAGGTAAAGATAATGTCCTTTATTTATTTATTTTTATTTGTTTTTTATGAAATTGTTTATAACAATATAATTTAAAAATAATTAGATTCAAAATTTTATAATTGGTGTTATCGTATCTTCAGGTAATTTTTAAATACAGTAAAAATATATATATATATACTGTCTCTTATACACATCTAATTAGATTCAAAATTTTATAATTGGTGTTATCGTATCTTCAGGTAATTTTTAAATACAGTAAAAATATATATATATATATATTTGTTTATGTATTGATCGATATTTAACAAAAGTATTAATCCTATTTTTTTGTTTAGTTATATGTTTAGGAGGAATAGGTAACGTAATTCAATATATGTGTAATGAAGGATTTAGATATCAATCATCAGGCAATGTTTATTCAGATTATAAATCTGAAACAAAATCTGAAGCAGATGAAGCAGTTGATGAACAGAAATCAAATGATGATTCAATTATTACTAATAATGTATGAGATAGTAATATAAAATATGTAAAATTATTTTTTATGTTGGTAAGAAATTTATTATTTAAGTTTTAGAATCTTTTTTTAAATTTTTAATATAATAATAAGTTCAATGTAATAAGTATAAATTTATTTATAATGTATAAATAATTCGTAGTATAAGTATAAATGTATAAAAATTCGATTATGTTATTTTTCTACAGTTAAGCGTAATGATTAAAGATGTTAATTAATTAAATTATGTTATACAAATATTTATTGATTATGAAAATGTAAAAATACTAAATATTTTGATTTACACTCACTAAAATTGATCGATATGATACGAAAAAGGAAAAAGTCCAAATTAACGGTTATGGGTCTAAATCGCGACGGGTCAAAATCCCGAATGTGTCAAAATCCCGACAGTTGGCCCGCGTTATGCAGAGTTATGCGTAATCACGTGATATTTTTGACCAGCATTAGAATTCGATATTTTGACCGGATCCCAAATTAACACGGTTACACACCCTTCTCAGTGATCATTAAAGGTTATAACCTATATACTTGTGACATAAATAGTAAGGTTATAACCTTTGATGATCACCTGAGTGGGGTGAATTAACAATGGAAATGTATTTGTAAATCAATGCCAAACATGAGAAGTTCGGCAATTAAAATATACGTATCTAAAGTATCTTGTACGTACGTCTCGATACTTGTCCTGAAGAGTGACGACCATCCCGCAAGTCCTGCCACAGGAGGCATTCAAAGAGGTTACTTTTAGTATATGAGAAATTAACGTCAGTTTCATCAATTAAAACTAAAAAATATCAATTATGCCGAAAATGATCAAAGAATTTTTTTTTTTTTATCAAAATACAATTTTACTTCGCATAGATTTTTACTAATGTTAAATTATTTTTTAATTTTTATTATTACTAAACTAAAAAAAGACATGAGTTTTCATTTTTAAAAAATTAAAAATCCGAAGCTGATGATTAATACTATAAAATGATCAGTAGTATACTAAAATAATATTATGTTTAAAAAGTATATGATTTTTTTTTATAGTATTGTGTGATGATCAAAGATTTATTTTTGTTTAAAAAATGTGTTGTTAAAAAGAAAATCATAATAAAATTTTGTAAGTTCTTCAATTTGGGAAACTTTAGAAAATTTCAGAAAATCATAATTTAAATTTAAAGGATGGTATTTAATCATATGCAGTCATAACTCAATATAACAGATAACAAACCGATTTTGGCCCATAACGAACTTTTTTCTTTAAATCAAAACCATTTATAATTAATTTTATGACATATAAGAAGTTTAATTATAAATCAGTCATATTTATTTATTCGCGATTAACCGATACTTCTTAATTCCGGCCTGAATTAACTTAGTCTCGGCCGGCACTATTCAACGTAGCAGATCAGTCACCTGATATCTACGAGTCTTAAAAAGTTTCCATTATATAGTATTGATACTATAAACATATTTTTTTACTGTAACTTGGTTCGCTTTGTGATTTAAAAATACTATAAACATATTTTGACAAGATAAAATGTTGCTTGATAATATAGTTAAGTATACAGAATTTTTATATTTAAATCGGTACAATAAAAATATATTGATGATTTATCGAATATTTGATATAACGACCAAAAATCAGGACCTACGGAGGGTTCGTTATATCGAGTTCTGATTGTAGATAATTATATGCTTATCAAAATATAGATTTTTTAATAAAAGAGGTGTTAAAAACTTAAAAGTTGGAACGGCCCTACTGTATTCTTCTAAATATGGGCTGACTCACAGCAAAAGGTGGCTCGGCCAAAATTTTTTTTTGAGATTTTATAATAATTATATTAAATTTTTCAGAAAAAATATTTTTATTTATAATGTTATATTAAAAAAACAAGATTTTAATATTTTTTTATTATTTGCATTTTTCTTCTATAGTATTTAATGAACGATATAAATATATTGAAAAAAACTTATATTTTTAATGAATTCCTTGTTAGTTTATTAAAAAATAGATTTTAAAAATCTTTAAAATTCATGAAAATAGTAATGATTTTCCAAATTGATTATATAATTAAGATTCTAGTTTTCTGTTGCAATCCATTCGGGTCTATTAGGACCCCGAGCTATACATAAAAAGGTAGAGTAAGGGTTTGCGTAGAATTGACCAAAATAATCATGTAGATCTTTCCTTTTATAGATAATGCCGGCCAGAATTTATTTCATTTTTTAGACGCTGACTGGCATTATCATAATTCCGGCCCTGTAGAGCTATTAGTAATTTTTTTTGGCTGCAACCTTACCTCTATATATATAGCTCGGGGTCCTGGTCTATCTGTTTCCTGTGCCACAAAGCCGCATTGGAAAAGAGCTCGTTCTACTGCTACCTGTTGCGAAAATAGTGTAGTTTTTCCTATCGGCTTTAAATAATTCTTCATCTGTATCAACTTCCCTACATTCTTTTACTGCCTTATGTCTGCCCATATATTACTAAATTCATTTCCAAATGTTTGAATAAATTAGACACCTTACGATTGAAATTAACTATAAATTAACTACATGGAATTCCTAACGTTAAGTTAATACCGTAAGTTACATAAACGGAATGATTACATAAAATCTTGATCTCTCGTTCTTTCAGATTGTTATGCGTATATGCGTATTTTTTTTCCCTTAACATCATCTCTTACGATAATTTCGTAATGTAATCGTTATAATTTATCAAGAATATGTGTGCTAATATTTCCATTTTCTATATCCAATTTGCTTATACGTTAATATATATCTGATATTTATTTTTTTTTTACGGTATTTATATTGTTTAATGTAATTTAAAGATCAAAATGTTATACAATGACTTATCTCGTGTTATCCTTATATGATAACATATTATCACCATCATCTCCATCATTATCATCATCATTCATATATAATTCTTCATTATAGATAGACTTGATATCATGATGTGTTTATTATTTCAGAATAAATATCTTGAAAATTTATTAATAGGACAAGAATTTATTCATTCGATCACGATAATTGAGAAGAAAAGTGTCATAAATCGTATAGGGTAGTAAGTGATTTTATTTTTTAATTTGTAGTTCACTGATTCATATAATTATCATGTTATTTGGCGCGTAGTTAGAAGTTTTTCAAAAACTTATGGAAAAAAATAAATTTGAAGAGAATAAAATGAAAATGAAGGGAATAATTTATGACTTCATTATAATTTTATTTATATATGAAAATATTCTATAATTTATAAAAATGCGGCATGCTTTGAAATAATGCTAAATAAGTGAAATAATGAGAATAAATAGTGCTTAATAAAAAGGTTCTAATATGCAAAATTTAATAGCTTAGATATCATCGGGTTCGCCTCTAGAAGGTAAGATAAGTGCAGCCTTGACTGTGCCGTTTTTTTCTTTCGATGGACTTTTGTCTTTTTGAGCAATTCCTCTTTAATGATTAAATTAATAAAATTAATAGATTTCTTACGTCGATTTTTAAAAAAGTATCAATATAGTATTTGTATTTACCTCTTAGTTAATTGATATAAATTCAAAGGAGAGGAGGCTGTTACGATAGCAGCCATAAACACAATCAAGAGAGCAAAGAAGATTTGACGCGAATTCATTTTTATAGTGTTTTGGATATTTTTTGTGTTGGATATTTTTAATTTCTTTTTTTGTGATTTTCTGAATCAGTGAGGGGAAAGTCATTTATATATTGATATATTGATTTTTTTTCAATATTATTAAATAGGGCCTATATTCCTTAAATTATCAACAAAACGAATTTATTTATCCGAACCGAAATTAATTTTAATAAAGAATACTCCCAAATTAAATACAATTAATGTATTTTTTATCTATAAATAATTGGAATAAAACTTTTTCAAACATTACTTTCATCTTTTAATATAACGACGAAATTTAACAATTAATTTAGTCGAGCTTTGTTTTTTTTTTAGACGAGTGATTGGTTGAGATTGTTTAATGGTAATTTTTATCGTCCTTTGTTAAACAAAGAAAATAAAATTTTTGTTAATCTATTTTGATTTTTAGAATGGTATTTTTATTTCTAATTTTAGGTTATAGGAGTCCTTGTTAAAGGTTTATTTTTGTGTAACGATAAATAATAATGCATCATATACTAGGTCCCAATATGATAAAGAAATATCACATGATCAATTTATAATTAAGTACAATTTTTATAACCAAAGTTTTATGTGATAATTTGAACAAAGAATAATTAAATATTATGAATTCAAATGGAAGATTTGGTCATAACTCGAAGCGCGCCCAATCATACGAAAAATTGATTTGGGTTTTTTATATAAAATGGTCGAAAAAACTTTTTCCGTTACCTTTTTTTAGAACTTTTTAACAATAGTCGAAATAAAATTTTATTATATTTTTTAAACCTTTATTTCCTTGCTTTTAAAGAAAGAAAAGTAAAAAAGAATAACATAATAATAGTATAAGAAAAAAATCTTTATGTAATTTCCATCGGATATATATTTCAATATCTTATTTGAATTTATTTCGATAATATTTGTAGATTCCTCATCTTTTATAATTTGTCTTTCAGAAAAACTACGCAGGGCTTATAAAATGAATGAAACATATATTTAAAGAAATATATATCTAACTTAATAAACTAATAAATCCTCAATGATATTTAATACATATTGTACTGCTAATTATGTATATTATAAATATAAAAATAACAATAAAATAAATAATAACAATAAAATAAATAATAACAATAAAATAAATAATAACAATAAAATAAATAATAACAATAAAATAAATAATAACAATAAAATAAATAATTAATTTAATAAAATAAAATCTCCTTCCTAAATAATAAAATTAATCTTCCGTCTGGCCATCCATCACCTGACTATCACCTGATTTCATCAATTTTTCGTAACAATAGTCAATTTTGTACACATAAGACGGATAATTTTTTTGCGGGATAAGTACAAAATACTCAATTATATTCAACATTATTCTCATCTGAATTATCATTTTTAATATATTTTCCTGTTTTAATTAGAATAATAATTTAAAGTTGACACAATATATTAAAATATTTATAATTAATAAAAATTTTACTTACTATTTTTTTGAATTTCAACCTTTAATTCTTCAAAATTACGTTTCCTTGAAAAATTTACAGGTACAGCAGTTGTTATGTTGTCAACGGAATTTGTATTTTGCGTGTATGATCTAAAAAATGAATAATTATATTTTTTTATATTATATTATTAATATTTACTCATTATATTAATTACCTTTGAATATCATTTATATCAAATGCATATTCTTTTGTGATATAATCTAATAAATTAATAAGAGATATCTAAATTAAATGTAATTTTAAAAAGTTTAAGGAAATGAACTGGATTAGTATTTGTAATACCTTTAAATACATTAAATGAAAGCATTAAAGATGAATCTATAGTTGTAATCTTAGAAATAATAGAACTTAATGGTCTACTTGTATAAATTGCCTTTGAATGATATTTTTCACTAAATTCAGGACCAAGTTGCTTAAATTTTATTAATTCCATCCTTCTTTCTTCAGCTTGTACAAGAGTTTTATGATGTATATATATATTTTTATATTTATAGAAATCCACAATAAAAGAATTATATAATTCATAAATAGTTGGTCTATTTGAAGGATTAGAATCCCAACATTTTTTCATTAAATTGGCAAAATATTCGGGGGTATCATTTGTTATTTTAGGTCGTCTTCCATCAATAATTTCATAGATAAGATCAATATTGTGTTCAACATTAGCAAAAGGTTTAGAACCTGTTGTAAGTTCCCACATGATCATACCCAAACTATATATATCAGATTCTTTTGAAAATGCAGCACCTTTAAATATTTCTGGTGCAATATATGGTATTACTCCATATACTTCATCATTTGATGAAGCATTATTTGTAGGTCGTGATAATCCTAAGTCTGCAATTTGCCAATTTGAATAAGTTTTATCACGAAATTTTTGTGATAATAATAGATTCCCACTATGAAAATCCCGATGTATATAATTTTTGCTGTGAATAGTTTGAAGGCTACAAATGTATTATTCATTGTTAATAAACTTATTATTTATAGATGATATATTAGTATATAAAATATAAATACCCATATAAAATATCGTGTAAAATATCCAATTTTTTCGTCCATGTAATATTTTTAAATTCTTTTTGCAAATAATTATGTAAATCACCACCTTTTGCATAATTCATTATCAACATATACTCTTTTGTTACGGGTCTTGGGTTATACCATAACAACCAATAATCCAATTATTTCCATCATTACATTGATAAAGTGATTTTAACTAAATTTAGTAAATTATAAATATGTCAATTAATTAAGGTATTACAAAAACACATCATAAAAAATAAATAAACTTACCTCATTTAGAACATCTTTACTGATATCTTGTGAATTAATTAATTTTTTTACAGCAACATCAATAAAGTATGGGTATGAACTTACTGACCAAGTTGCTTTATAAATAACACTAAATCCTCCTTCTGCTATTTTCTTTAAATTTCTAATTTGAGAATATGGGATCCATATTATAGAGTTTATTCCTGAATAAAATTTACTCCTAATAAAACGATATACATTAAATGGATCCTTATTCACATAATCAGCAATAAAATGGTGATTTTTATTCTCGATTTTTATAGAGAAAAGAAATTCATCTATAATACAATTTCCACTAATATCAATATTAAGAAATGATACTCTTTTACAATTCTTGCATTGCGATTGATTTGTGATTCCAATAATAATATTTGTTGTCAAACAATAACTACATCCAATATAGATAATAAAGCAATGTGAGCACCATTTTTGACAATGAAATTTTGACTCTTGCTGTATATAATCTAGTTCTCGTGGACAAATTGAACATCTATCATGATTGTCCCACCATGGTAAATATATAATTAAAACGGACTTTTTAGACAAAATTGTTGACTCTACCCATCCGAAAGATAATTGATAATACTGTGGTCCACGTTTAGATAAATGTTTATCACATACCTCGTAATTAAAAGGTTTAGTATTAATAAATGATAAATAATCTGAGAATACTTGTCTAAAATATGAAATCTCAGAGCAATATTTACACCATTCTTGAATATTTATTGTACAAAAGTTATTTCTAGTTGCTTTATGTTCAATACATTGAGCATTATTTGTCATTATTATATGTACATCCAAATATGTATTACTGCCAGTTGTATATTTATACTTCAACAAACAATTTTTGCAATATTTTTGTTCAAACTTAAGTGTCTTGGAGTATAAATTTCCACAATTATTACACTCGTATTCATTATTTTTAAAGGGAATAAATAAAATAGGTACAGGACTGGGTTGCATAAGGTCAAATGAATTATTATCTATATTCATGATGTTGCCATTTAAGAAAGCCGAATTTTGAAGTTAAATAGCTAAATATAAAAGTTATGATATAACACAGTGAAATTAATTCTATGGGAATTTTCTTTAAAGAACCAAAAATTCTGTAGAAACTTCTAAAATTTACGTATCTTTTAAATTTTACGTTACACTTAATAAAAAATCATGTGATCTAATATAATTACACTATTTTAATTGTTTTTTAAAATTTTTTCGGGTTTTTCAACCTGATTTTTTTTTTGAACTTTTCCTTTTTTCGGTTTAGTTTTTTTAAAACTTTTTTTTTCTTTTTCTCAAACTTTCCTTTTTTCGATTTGGTTTTTCTAAACCGAAATTTTTTTTTTCTATTTTTTTCAAACTTTCCTTTTTTTGGTTTGGTTTTTTTAAACTAAAATTTTTTTTTTTTTCTATTTTTTTCAAACTTTCCTTCTTTTGGTTCACATCTTTTACAGTTTTACTTTTTTTGAAAAGAGGAAAAATATGAAATAATTAATACAAATATATGATATAAAGTTTAACAAGGACTTTTTACACAAAAACACAGGTTGCCATTAAGAAACATCTTTTTATTAAAAACATTTAATAAGAATAAAAATTTGATATAGACAAAACAAATACAATGATCGACCATGAAAATTCCATCTTAAGGAAAATTGGAAAAGCTGCAACAAAAAAGAATTATAGAATTCAAAATTATCGAAATCATTAAATATTTTAGCAAAATCTGAAACAATGAAATTAAAAAAAAACAAGAAAAAGACAATAATAGTGTGTCAAAATGTTGTTAAGAAAAAAGGCTTACAAAAAGAGAAACGAAAGTGAAAAAAGGATTTGAAGATCAATGAATAGGTTTTTTTTTTTAAAAAAAAGAAAATGTTGTGTGAAATAATTTAATTTTTATATCTTTTATTTAATAATTATATTAAAATATAATAAATATAGTAAAAAAATTTTAATGTCATAGCAATATTATTTCTTTAAATTACTAGTAGTAGATAATTATTACACGAATTTATGAAATACCCGTCATGTCAAATTAAATAAATATTTGACAGTATTTTAGTCACCAAATTTTTTATTCAAGTTCCCAAATTTATTAGTGAACAGTCAAAAATGAGCTCAAAAAATTTTTTGTACGATACCCCAAATCTGGCGTCAACCAATTTTCCCATTATCTAATCCATTTTCCCAGTGTTAAAGGCGAGTCATTCGATATCACATGTTTCTGTAAGTCAATTTTAATTCCCGAGGGCGCAGCAAGTTTTTTGCCAAATTTCATAAATCCGCCGCAATGTTTATATTACAAAATGTTTAATAAAGAAAGAAAGAAATTACCATTATATATATAACTGATATTTATGATAATATTGAATAAATTGCATATTTTATTTTGAAAATTTAAATAATTATCATGAAAAATTATTATTATATTTTTCTGAACCTTAAAAAAATGACCATCTGGAAAAAGTAATGAAATATAAAATGGTAGCAAGCAAATATAAAGTCAAACCAAATGAAGTATGGGCTTTCATTACTAACAATCTTATCAAAGAAAAAAAAATAATCAATAAAACAATTTGGGTAAGTTATTTTTTAAGAAAAGAATCTTTTTTTTTTCTTAAAAAATAATTATAGCACCCCAAATTATTTTGGATAAAATAATAGTTCCTCAAGTTTCGATTCGTCTGTAAAAAATTTTAACGTGGATTTTCATTATAATATTCATAAAATTGAATTTACTTAAGTATATTGCGTTTTGCAAAAAAAAAATAAAAAAAAAAAATTTACTCTAAAAACCTAACAAACATTATTTTTTAAAAACATAAACAGAATTAAGAATTAATCGGGTTAGTAAAAAAAACTTTATAAAACAAATTTTTGAGGAGGACCTGGTATTTTTTCCTTTTTTTAAAAAAAATGATATTCTTTTTCAAATTAATAATTAATAGTTTATTTTTTAGCGCAAAAGCGAAATCTTTTGCTGATAAAACAACGGATATATATGATGAACCTAATAACGCTACTATTGATAAGAAATATGTAAGACTTAATTCTGAACTAGTAGATGATGCCGCACGTTACCATTTAACGTGAAGAATCTAAATTACATGGCGTTGGAGTTGCGACCGGCGGTGCAGGTATAATTGTATCATAATTATTTTTCCTTAAAAAGAGTATTTAAAATTTTAAAGTTCGGACTAAGTTTAGCCAAAGTCAAATCTAATGAATTATCATAGTACTAAAATACATGAAATTCTGTTAAATTTTTTCTAGCATTCTAATGAAAAAATTGACCACATAATTTTTAAAATCTTCAATTATGAAAATAGAAATACTGTAACTGACCAAAATTAGAATTATCAAACAATTGTGAAAATGCAGTTGCACGTGATTTATCGACATATAAATATTATATTTAGTTCTTGTAAAATTTTCAATATAGCTATAAATGATATATCTGATATGCGTTTAAAATAATGTTAATTACGATAAAATAATCCTTTCGTTAATTATACATTATTAACTTTAACAAGTTACGACTTCTGATGAGTTGCTCAAATATTTAAATATTGCAATTTTAAATTATTTTGTAAAGAAATTATCTATTTGAAATATGAGAACAAAATTCTATATATAATGATTGTATGTTATGACATACTATATTTGAGCCATTTGATAAAATAAATTCAGCATAAATATTCGATTTATACATTTTAAATTCTACTATGAGGTTTACTAAGCAAAGTTTTGCTTCAGGTAAATAATCTTCTGATGACACTTCAAAGCTTTTAATAATGAAATATAATTAACTTTTTTTAAATATTTAATTGCTATTTTTCAAGTGTATGTTGAATCATATCATCAATTTTACAAAGTGAAATAAATAACTTTTCAAAATGATGCATAATTAAACAATAGAGATTTCTGAGTTAGTAATATTAATTCCATTCTTATGCAAAAGTCTGATTCTTTAGAAAGACAAGCAATTAAAATGTTAATGACCAACCAAATTTACAATTTTGTCAGAATTAATGAAGTTATGTATAACAGTTAATCAGTTATAATTACTAATTTATTATAATAAGATATTTCACAAATTTCCAGAAAATAAGCTTA